CAGTTTTAGGTCAGACTTAGAAAACAGAGTGCTTTCAGCTCACCACCATATTCTGCCATTCACATGCAGCTGGTTAAGTTCATGTTGATCCATTATTGTCCCATGCTTAAATTTTCTGATGCCTGCACTGTTATGTCATACTTGCATTTGGAGGCCAAAGATATACTCCTCTGTATTGTTTGCTTTCTTTTTTCCCCCACAACCTTCAAACTGTTGATTCCAGAAAAGTTGATTTAACACAGCCACCTGTAGCCAACATCTACTTGTTTTGGCATTATCACTGCTATGTTAATAAAATTACTTCATAACTGGCAGAACACCTCTGATTTCTTAGTTTATTCAAGCATGATCAAAAATTAACTCATAAGGCTGACAGGAGAAAGACCCATTAGAGGATGCTAAATTGAACTTTCTACACAAGCACAGGACAGCCATAAATCTGCCCAGAGGCAGTCTGGACAAGGAAAGAATGTGTTTTCTATGTCTGTAATGATATATTTGCCCTTTCATTTCTATATCTATATAGTTACAGCTGGCAGTAATCTTCAGTAAAAGTCACTACAGCAGAGCATTCCTGGGTGGTATTCATTGCAAAACTTGAGTGCCACTAAAATGGAATTTTTGTGTGTTTGGTGTGAATTTCAACATTTCTATATGAGAATTCCTCTTCTCATCAGAGCAGTTCTGAGTCAATGAAGCACTTGCTTAACCAACACTTTCTACACTACCAATACCACTGCTACTCTAGGCTTTCTGTAATTACCTTCTTGTCAGGGGCAGGGAAAGGAGAGGGTCCAGAGCTGTGAGTTTCCATTTCTTTCTTTTCAATTGCCTAGAAAGAAGCTATTGGTAACTTGACATATGGCAAGTATGTTAAGCTTAAAGAGCTGTGAACTTTGGATAGTTCTGAAAAAGAGTTAGGGTTTAAATGAGTACAGCTGTTGTGAATGGAAGTAACCAATCAGTGATTTTAAGAAGAGAAAATCATCTTCCTGTTTAAAAGAGGTGGCAAAACAAACTAAGAATCTCTGCCTTAAAATTTTAGAAAGTATTTCTTTCTTTCCTTATTTGCTGTTTCTGTGATCCATTAAAAAAGACCGGAGTCTTTTCAGGCAACTAAACCAATGTTCCCCCAGAAAGCTGGCAGCTTGTAGGGGACATACCAAGAGCAGATGCTGGCACTGAAGTTGAGCTTGACTATTTCACTTGGTGCTCTGGGCATCGTTAAAATAGGAACTGTTTTATCAGTCAGCATCTTACAGAATTTCAGGAAGCAACATTCAGGAAACAAATCTGCTTTTGCAAGGGAAAAGTTCTTACAGATCAGTTACCAATTTAAGAATATCACCTACGCTTGGAAGGAAGAATTTCTTGCAATTATGAAAAAATGAGGCTACCAGGCAAAGAATCTGGCCTTGATCCCTCCTTGATATTCCTGCTAACTTTGATGACAGTAAGACTACACCCACTAGGGTTTAAGCAGAAATATATATAGATTTAATACACGAGCAACATCCAATCTGGAAGAATTATCATCCCTCTAATAAGGAGTTCAAATTGCAGCAATCCTGACTTAACCTCTCATCTGTCAGAAACAGATGAATAGAGAACTGTGGATTTCTTTGTGCCTGCCTGTTTCTTATGAAACCAAACTCATGCCCATTCAGCCTGGGCACAAACCATCCCACAAATGATGGTATACGTTGTAGGAATGTGGGAGATCATCCAAGGGTTGTCAGCCAAAATTTCCCTTCCCCACTATTGTTACATAATGTGCTGTTAGCATTTCAGTGTTCCTACTGCATGCAGTTTACAAATGTGCTCAGTCCTTATGGAAGCAGACTACAATGAAGATTGAATGAAGCTCTGCCTCAGTAGTGACACATCTGGGTCCTGTTCTCAGTATATAATTGAAGATGCAGTGTCAAATCAACAGTGTTCTACACAAATAAATGTCCATCAAACAAAGCCTTGTTCTTGGAAAATACTTAAATATGTCAATGATACTTAACAAAAAAATGGCTTGGAATACTTACAGTTACATGTTTATTTGTAAAGACCAGAAAGCAAGGGCAAAAGCTTGTGAGAAAACTCAGCGATTTAACGTCTCTAAAGTTTTAAGTGAGGTAAAATAGTGAAGAGAGATGGAAGATAGACCATTTTCACTAAGCAACGACATGAAAAGACAGTAAGCGTTACAGTTCTGATGGAACCTTATACTACCACTACAAACTCCTGGAAATCAAAAAGATAGTATCTCTGCAGGGGGTGGGTGAAGCTAATCCATAGAATCAACTACTAGAGCCTTGGAGAACAGAATTTAAAAAAAAAAACCTAAGTACCAGCTTGCCAGTCTTTGTAATAGATCCAATAGAAATCTTAAGTGCTTAAAATGGAATGTAGTCTTACAAGGGGACTTCAGCCTAAAACTGCAGTTCAGGTAACTCTTCCCAGCTGCTGCCCCATCCTACTTTCCAAACACACCTCCTTGCTTAACTGTAATGCTTTCCTGCAAGTGCTCAGTTCTGAATACTCATGGCAACCTACTTTTAGCAGAAACAAACAACTCAATGCCTAGATCATAGCTGTGCTGTGCTAGAACCAAAGCTTTGATGCCTTTCTGCCCAATTTTCCTAAAAGGATTGCACCCACAGATATTTACATAAGTCCTGAACTCTGACAGGGCCAAAGCTGTACCAAAGCAGCCTTGGGCCATGGTGTTCATTCAAAAGTCTGCTCCCTCACTCCCTTTCTGTAATGATGTAGGATGGTGTGGTGTCAGCTATGCAGGAGCATAATATTACCAACCAGTGTAATGGTGCTCACAGCATTGATTCTGTATTTTACATTAAGAATTAGAGTTTCCAGTACTGGGATGAGCACCCCTTTTATGTACTTAGAGCCAAATTCAGACACAATTGTCTTTCTGAATGAATCTCAAATGCTTTTCTTTACTGTTTTTCTGTGGAGAGGAACACAAATGGAGAGTGGGACCACATTAGCCATAAGTCAGAGCAGGCATGTCTAGCCTGCAGAAGGTATGCAGCCCAGCACAGTTCACACTATGGCCTGCCACATGCCTGCACCAGTCCCAGGGGCAAGTTGAATGGGATGCTACGTCAGGGCAGCCACACTGGTTCCTGCAGCAGTCACTGAGGACACACATGGTAGCTCCTAGCAAGCAGGTTGCAACCACCAGTGGAATGGGAGGGATATGCCAACCACTGCCCCTGCAACAAGCACTGGATGCTGGGTGCTGCTGAAGCCTTACGAGTCCCTTGATGCCACACTACAGTGAGGAGAGGGGGCACTTTTGCTGTCCTACATCCTTCTTTGCCCAGTGCTGAGAAAACTCAGTGCCTGCAGCCTGTCCTGAGCTGTCATTTGCCTACATCCCTCCCGAGCCTCAAGGCCTGGGCTCAGCTTTCACCTCACAAAGCAAAGTTTTCCAGACTGCGGAGTCCAGGAGGAGACACAGGAGTCCCAGTGCAAACTCTAACATACCAAGAAAAGAGAGGTACTTACTCAAGATTGGTGCACAATAGGCACTGCCTGGGCTGAAATCAGGACGTGGAGAGGGTGCAGGGCTGTGCTGACTCATGTGATGGCAAATAATTGTGTGCAATTTAATACACTGGCTAAACATAGTCCTGTGAACTGAGAATAATATGCCTTGCTTTCCATTTTGACACAGGAATTTGAGAAGAAGTTTCAAGATTGCAAAAACAAACAAACAAAACAAAACCATTTTCAGTTGACATAAATACAGTATTTGCGAATTTTCAAATGGAATGCATAGAGTTGCAATCAGTTGCAATCTCTTTACCAGACCTTTATAAGACCTCTCTTAGCAGATGGGTATTAAAGAAATACGTCTTATCGCATTTTGGCAGTACATACATTTGGGAACTACTGCTTTTGAGGATGAAGTATAGGAAGATTTCATCAAAAATCTCTGATGAGCACCTTGAGAATTCACTAAGAATGGCAGCCACTGCCATCCAGCTGAAGTGATGCATCAGTATCACGAGAAGAATGGTTAATATCTCTCTAGTTTTGTGGTTTTATTGTTCTTTTTGAGCAACAAAATGCTCAGTGGGTGCATGCCCAGGGCCAGGCTGCACTCCTTGGCACGGAGGTGTGGGGCAGGGGGAGGCTGCAGGATGGGCTGTGCTGGACCGTGGGTTGGACATGCCTGGGTTAGAGTATTTTTTCCAGGTGAGACAGGAGCCACTGTTACCAAGACCGAAGAAGGAACTACATCCAAGTCTCTCACGAAATAAACTGGCAGTACTAACACTTAAAATATAACCCTCTTTTTACCTCTCTATAAGAAAGGATGCCAGCTCCTTTCTGTACAGCTGAGGTTCCCAAGTGACAGAAGTGTCACTGCTCTTCTGAGGAGGACCTCCCTGAGGTCTGCAGCAGCTGAGATACCAAGGTCACACTACTCTGAATGTATCCTATCAGCTATCTTTGGCAGCTGCACACCAGCCACACTGAATTCAGACTGTGCACAGGCTGCTGTGTGTTCTGGATCCCATTACGAGGTGCTTAGCTTCCCATGGAGGCTATCGTGGGTTCTGGATTCCTCTCCTCTGTGTAATATAATCAGAAACAGATCCCATCTCAAAGCTCTAGCCAGCCAAAAATGGAGAAAAACAGATCAGCTGACATTCCACCACTGTTACACTCTCATAGGCACACTGATGTCTGTGGGGTGACATAGATGCAAGTATTATCATTTATAGTTCAAACATTTATAACAAAAATACAGTTGGCAGGGGTATTGTGAAACACACGAGCTTTTCAGATAGCTTAAACTGCAGTAGCAATTGCAGTGTGTGAAACATACAAGCTTTTCAGATAGTTTAAACTGCAGTAGTAATTGCAGTGCTCTGTGGCTGGAATTTGAGTGCTGTGACAGTCAGCGGTTGCGGTGTGAGAACAGTTCCCCCAAAATTAACTTCTTGAAATATCTGAAGCACCGTAGTCAAATAAAATTAAAAAAAATATCATCTTCAAGTACTCAGCCTACTAAGTACACAAAACCAGAGCCTCAGCTAATATAAACCCTTCACATAAGCAGTTCACAGATATTGAGGATTTCTGCTCCAGGATCAACGGAGCTGAATATAACCATTATACTTTTTCATCTCCCTCTTTCGTCGCTGTTCTTTACTTTCTGTTCTTCCCTGAGGACTGATACTAAAGCAATTGGCTCACTGGGTCAGCGTGCAGCAGTCACAGGAATTCAGGGCTTTTCTCAGCAAAGGAAGAACAAGAGACTTTGGAGTTATTTACGAGACTTTGGAGTTATTTACAAATGAAGTGTTAAATTACTAATCACTAATTTAATGGAAGGAAGAGGACAACATACCACTGTCTGTCTTTTTGCTTCCGCTGGTAGCTCCCAGTGCTGCTGTGACTGTGCCTTAGGTCTCCAAGGCTTACCTGCTCCAGAGAGGCAGAACTCTGTTCAATTCAGCCAAGCTAGGGCAGTGAAGGGTAAATGGAAGTGAGGCCAGTATGGTTTCCTGAGCTCTCCTTTCTTTTTTCCTATTGCACCCATCCCTTCTCAACAATACCATTCATAAATGGGAAACACTCCATCTTGGAATTAATTCTCTTTTCTGGTACTGTCCAAAGGCATTGGAAAGCTGTTCCAAAGTTTGACTAATCTATTGGTTAGGAAACATGAAATGAAAGGCATTTAAGCTAGCAAAATATCATTGGAATTAAAGGGGGACTGAAAATGCCTATTGTGTCACTTGAGTTTGCTGCCAAAATCAAGTCCCTATTTAGTAGGCATCAACCCAGATGGTACGCAACTTATAGTAACTATTGCTTCTCTAAACAGAGTTTAGCAATTGATACTACATCTCATTTAAGTTCTTTCAGACGTCTTAAATATAACTGCGGGACCTGGAAGCATTTCTCCTGCTTCGCTCATTGCTTGAAGACACCCGACCACGCGCGGAACCGACTGCCATGTGGCGTTAGCACAAACCAGCGGTGTCACGGGAGCAAAACGCTGCGATGGGGTCGGCTGCCGGTCAGGCGGCACGGCCGAGGGAGCCCTTTAGGAAGGCGTCCTCTCCTGAGGACGAAGGCACGAAGGGACCCCAGCGAACCGCGCAACACGGCGCCAGGCGGGCCGCGCTGCCGGAGGAAGGCGGCGCTTGGCCGGGGCGCCCCGCCCGGCCCGGGAAGTGAAAGCGAAATGCGCAGCGGGCGGGGCGGGGTTTGCGCGGTGTCACTGCCGTCCCGCTCGCCGCGCCGATGTCCCACGGGCCGAGAAGGGGACGGGAGGAGGGGGAGGACGGAGCGGCGAGGGGCAGCCAGGCGCGGCACGGCAGCCTCCACGAGTCCGCGGGCGGCGGCGGCAGGAGCCAGGGCCGGCACGAGAGGAAGAGGAAGAAGCAGGAGGCGCAGCAGCTGCAGAAGCTCCAGCACCTGGAGTCCTTGTAAGGAGCGGAGAGGGGAGGCCGTGCTGCGAGCTCACCCGGCGGGGCTCGTCCTTCGGGCACAGGAGCGTCCTGCCGCCGGAGAGGCGCCGGCGTGGCGAGGCCCAGCCCTCGGCGGGCGGCGGGACGGGCGGCTGCGGCACCCCGCCCTCCTGCGGGGCTCGGGCAGCTGCGCCGAAGCCCGGCTCCTTGCTTCGGCCCCACGGCTCCTGAGAGCGGTGAAAGCGAGCCCTTCAGCTCTTAACCTTCCCAGCGCTCTGCTCTGCGGGCTTTGGCTGTCAGCAGCTGTGGCTCAGCTCGCGTCCTCGCGGCTGAAAACGGGGCAGAAATACGCGGGTAGTTTGCCTGCGTGCGTGCGTGCGTCTAGCCGGGATGTCTGTAGAGCCCGTTTGTACACGTAAGCAGGTCTGTTCTATTTGAGGAGCTGAGGGGAGGCCTGATGGCGGCTGCAGCTCCTCACGGGGAGCGGAGGGCAGCGCCGAGCTCCGCACGGAAGCGCTCACGAGAGGTGAGTGCTGCGTGATGGCAGACACTGACAGCTTGGGAGCACGGGCTCTCAGCGTGCTGGCATCCAGTTGTGCTGCAGGTGGCTACTGACGAAGTAAAACCGAAGGGAAAACGGGAGGTGGAAATTGTATGACTCCGTCCCATCGAGGCACTGTATTTTGTCAGTGATTTGTTTGTGCTAAGCTACAGAGTAACAACATTTCCATTGCTTTTCAGCTACGAGAAGCCTCCCCCAGGGCTAATTAAGGTTGGTACCTGTACTGCTGTACATCTTTAGCTTTACAGGTGATTTCAGAGATTGCCCTAGTATCCTAGTTAAAGGGCCTAGGATATCTGTATAAATCACAGAGATAATGGCTTCCAGAGGACAATTTAGAGCTCCTCATTTGCAAGCGAACCTCTTTGACTCCCTAAATCTCAAGCAAAATGCCCAGAGTCAAATAGGATGATACTGGTTCCTTCACAAAATCTTAGGACAGAAAACAAATGTAGTATTTGGTATGGTACAGAGAAATCATGTATGCTGAAGCACATCTTCAGTTTGTATGGCTTCTTTTCAGGATTCTTCTCCATTGCTTATGCCCAAAATACTTGTGTAAAAACACTTTCATAGTGATTATTGTTGTTGTCAGATGCATATAATGAAACCCTAATCTGGTGTTTTTAACCCCCAGTATACTTCTTCATGTTATTAAGGCTATTTCTAATTCTTATGTTTTGTTACAAGAGGAAGTCTCAGCTTATCTGTTAATTTTTCAGTTCTATCATTTATTGAAATAAATTGCTGAAATAAATGGAGAGGAATAGAAGTAGTATGTCCAGAAAATCTGAACTAGGAAAGGGCCAGGGAGAAAGATCCTTCTTGTGTTGCAAGAAAAATAAATGTTAGAGAAAATAGTTTCCATATTAAATGAAGGCCTGTACACTTGGAATATTGATTCTTACAAAAGTGGGCTGTTCCTGTTGTTGTTTTTGTTTGCTTGTTAAGGTGATATTATTGTCTTTATCTTTTTCCATAGGAGGAGGAAACAAAACCAGAAGACTGCATACCTGACGTACCAGGCAATGAAAGTGCACGAGAATTCCTGGCACATGCCCCAACAAAAGGGCTTTGGATGCCTTTGGGAAAAGAAGTCAAAGTTATGCAGTGTAAGGCTGAAAATGTTCCAGATGTCATTGGACCTTCATATAGCTGTCTCTTTACACTGAGGGAGGGCAGGATGTGTGGTGGACAGGTGACAGGATCCAAATAGTTTGGCATCATGTTGATATAAGACAATTATCTTGAAGGCTGTAATAGCCCTCTATTTTATGGAAGCTACGTTTATCAATATAATACTTCTCTCCCTCTCCCTCTTTTTTTTTTTTTTTTTTTTTTCCTCCAAAACTGAAAATATTTTCCATAAGTATGCTTCTTTGTTTTGTTTAAATGCTGGTCTGGCTCAGAGATGCAGTTCACTGTTGCTTTCTTTTTTTCTTTCCCAAGGTTGGAGGTGTAAACGCTACGGACACAGAACAGGGGATAAAGAATGCCCGTTCTTTATTAAAGGCAATCAGAAACTGGAACAATTTAGAGTAGTGAGTACAAATGCTGCATTATTATTGCTTGTATTTTTGACATTGATGATGAATAATATTGCAGGTGAAGATAAGCCTGATAGAGGATGGTCTGTTAAGGACTTTTCCTCTGTCTCTAGTTTAATATAGAGGCCAAAAATCTAATAAAGAAAAAGCTACAGATGTGGTTGGATGTTTGGCTGCTTTATAGAAAAATCTATTCTGCAAGAGGAAACTAATTAATATTTAAATTGGAAATCTTAAAGAACCTCTTTCAACTGTCATATTCAGTCAGTATTTACAGCATAAATTTTTGTAGTAAAACATAACAAATATGTTTAGTAGAGCTTGAGCTGCCTGTTACAGCTGTTTCAAGCCTTCTGCTGTCACTGACCAAACACATCATGAAGCCTATTGTCTAGGTGTGTAATCCATGCATTGTGTGCTATTCTGGTCTTCTGCTATGTGAGACTGCATCTTTGTTTTTTCACATTCTTTCAGTGTGGCTTCTTTTGCTTTGCGCTGTTAAAATATATTTTAAGTTATCATCGCTTTATGTCTTATGTTTTTCTTTCTATCTTTGAAAATGGAATCCAGGCTCCTTCTGTCCAGTAAGAATGCTGCTGCAAACAGTTTTTTGATTCACATTTGTGACCAGATTGCCTCTATTTTTTTTTTTTCCAGGCTTCTCTGTTGCATCAAACTCTTGTGTTATGTCAAGGCCCATTATAGTCCATTCCCACCATCTTTCATTTGCTACTGAAATTTAAATTCCCACCTTGATAAACATCTGATACCATTTCTCTGTCTATTTGTTTGCTGAATCTTCCAACAGAAATGAAGAAATGATAGCTTCAGTTCTTTTTGCTGCATTCTTGCTTGGCATGAACTGGCCTTAAATATCTGCAAGTTTATTTGCTATCTTCCTTCACAACTATCTTTTGCTGCAATGCCTATTCAATTTAAAAATAACTTGGTTAAGAAGCAATAGTAATATTACATAGTACAGAAGGACAGCTCCAATTTCCAGTACATAGCAACTGTATTGCCACATGTTTGTATCCAGTTTTAAAATATGCTGTCAGGGTACTGCATATACTATTTTGAACTTCAGTATTCCTTCTGTGTCTAGCTAACTATTCCTACAATATATGTTGGGGACCTCTTAGTCAACTGTGACTGGAAAGGAAGAGCAGTAGTATACCTAAGGAGAGCATCCTTCATCAGTGATGTAACTAAGTAAGAAAGTAAAAATCAGTCCACATCAATGAGGCTCCTGTTTTTCATTTTAAAGGCACATGAAGATCCAATGTATGATATAATAAGGGAAACGAAACGTCATGAAAAAGAAATGAGGTAAGTGTGCCTCTGCAGTAAAATGCATTTTCAGTTTGATTAGATAACACAATTCTGATTTAGAGTTTGTAGTTGATATGTTGATATATTACTCTCACCAACCAAACATATTTTAATAGCTTCTTTCTATTATTAGAGATTAATGCATTTCTACTTTCTCAATAATCATTCTGTATACTTCCTGCCTCTTTAATAGCTTCTACATTTGTTCCCAGAGCAAAGTTCAAAGAGGAATCCTTCATTTATACCATAATGTTTGGGTACTTGGATGTTATTCTGTTTTAGGTCTAATAAAAACATTTTTTTTCATTGGCTCCACTAGTTGTTTTTATGTCAGAAATCTTTCAGTAGACAGGAAGGGATGGTTTTAAGAAGTTAGCTCTAGGCACTGAATTCTGCTCCTTATGTGAGGTCATTGTTCAGTATATACAGCAAGTATTTTTCCACATTTGTGAGGAATCTGTGAAAGAGTACTTGTCAAAGATACCTCTGCATCTAAAATAGAATCTGCTAGAATCTGCCCAGGCAGGTTCATTGACATCATCTCTTTATCAACAGGACAATTATTTTCTTGATATTATAATCACAGTATGCACCTCTGTATGCATGAAGTTAGAACTTCTTACAGAGGTCTGGTGATTGCTTTTTGTCTCTGTATTCTGTGCTTAATTAAATTACATTGAGTGGTCTGAAAGTAATGCCTCCTGTTTTATTATGTTGGCCCACAACATCAGAGGCGGATGTTGGTGGTATGGCAGTAGAGACTGACCCTTCCAACCAATATTCCATTACACTTTGTTGCTGTAAAACTGACAGCAGCAGAGAACCAGTTTGACAAAATATATCTGACGTAGAAATGCATCTGAAGCAAAGATGTGGAATTGAATTTCTCTGTGCAGAAAAATTGACGCCCACTGATGTTCATCAATGCTTGCTGAATGGTTACGGAGATCAAATAGTGGATGTCAGCACAGTGAGGTAGAAGCTGGTACGTTTCAGCAGTGGTGACAGTGACATGAAAGACAAGATGCATTCTGGACAGCCATACACAGCTGTCACATCGTGAAATGAAGAGCATCTTGATCAGCTCGTCCACATGAATTGGCATATTACAACCAGGGAGCTGCGTATAGAGCTGAATTGCCCTCACTGCACTGGAAATGATGGTAGAAACTTTGGAATGTTGCAAAGTTTACATCAGGTGAGTCTCATGAATGCTCACACAGGAATAGAAAGAATGCTACTGAAGCTTGTCAGGATCTATTGAACCAATGCAAGACTGAAGGTGACAGTTTCTTGGATTGCATCATTACTGGTAATGAGACACGATGTCTACACCACTACAAGCTGGAGTCAAAATGATTGTCCATGGAGTGGGGACGTGTGAACTCCCATCAAAGAAAAAGTTCAAGATGCAGCCGTCAGCAGGGCAAGTGATGTGCACTGTCTTTTGGAATAGGAAAGGTATAGGTAATGCTTCTGGATTTCCTGGAACCTGGACCAACCATCAACTCTGATGCTATGTTGTAATGATGACTAAGATGAAGACTGGAACTTCCACAGTCAGGCCAGAGAAGAAGACAACCGTTATCTTGCAACATGATAACACCACTCCACATCCCAGTTTGAAGACCATAGAGCATATTGCCAATCTTGGATGTTCTGTCCTACCATGCCCACCATAGAGTGTGGATTTGGCACCTTCAGATTTCTGTCTGTTAGGGCTAATGAAAGGTGGACTGTGTAGGTAAAATGTTCACAGCTGCTCTGATGGCATCATTGCTCGGAGTCTGTGGGTGCAGACTTAAATGAGTGTGTCGTGCAGGCCCTCATTCACTGCTAGCAAAAATGAACGGCTAATGGTGGTGACTATGCTGAAAGATAGTGTTTTGTAGCTTTGTAGGATTTGCTCTGTTAAATAGTTTTATTGTGCTCTTTTTAACTTACTGTAGTTAGTTTCTGTGAGAATAAGTAGGAGGCATTACTTTCAGAGTGACTTACTTACACATTGTTGAATATACTAGTTTGTGATATCCCATGGGGTGGAAAGTTTTTGAATTAAACATGTGTACCTCAAAAGAGGTTGTATTCAGTCTGAAAATTGTAATGGGAGTTGTAATTCAGCAAAAGGGAGCATTCCCCTGCCCTTTGCGTGCAGCTTCCATTTCTCAAGCTAGGAAGGAAAGAGATGAAATTAGAATAAATTGTTACAAGGAGAGTCTAGAAAGGATTCTCATTCATATTTTTTAAACACAGGATACAGCAGTTGAAGCAGCTCCTTGAGGATTCCACCTCAGATGATGATAGCAGTGATGACAGTGATGAAGATGATGATGAAGATAGCAGCAGCTCCACTTCCTCGGATAAACACAAGAAAAAAAAGAGAAAGAAGGAAAAGAAAAAAAAAGAAAAGAAAAAGAAGAAGAAGAGAAAGCATAAATAATCTAAATCTAATGAGAATGACTGATAGCAGTCACCTACTGTATGCTCGTTGACCTCCCTTTCCCCTACTTGTGAACTGCCTGGAAAGATCCAAAGAATTAGGAAGAAACTACCAAAAGGGGCTTTTTAAAACTGAGACATACAGGTGTATACATGTAGCATCCTTCACTGGCTCTTTTTTCTACCCCTCTGCAGTGCTGCAGCCAGAAAAAGGAGAGCTGCACTGAACGATACACAATCATATATATCTTTTTTTACCATAAAACTTGTGCAAAGCATCATCCAACTTGGTCACATTGCTATGTGACTACCAGCAGAAAGCCATCACTACCATGGTGGTCAGCAGACTGTCTCCTGAAGCATGTTTTCACCACACAGTCATTTAATTATATACAAAGCCTCGCTGCAAGGGGGCTGCAGTTTGCATTGCATTGGCAGTTCACTTACAGTAAGGTACTCTATTTCTTTTTCTGCCTGTGTTTTGAAGTCCACTGTACTTCACTTGCAGCTGGGGAAGTAATGAGCACTGCTGAAGGGGGAAAAAATGTCAATCAAGGGGAATTGGAGACAAAACCAGAGTGAGGGTTTTTTTTGTTAGCAACAACTCAATGTGATTGCAGTAGACACAGTTCTATAATGCCTAGAGTATTCCCTAACCTGTAAGACTGTGAGCCAGCTGTGATGATGCTAGATGCCTATTTTACCATTAGAGGGTTTTTTGATTATTTAAAAAAGGGAGTGGTGGTTCATGCTGGAAATGAGAAAAATGCATTTCTACACATACTTCAGTATCAGTTGTTTTGGTACATTTGATTTTTTTTCCTTTTAAAAAGGCTTGAGGAAGTGAATTCCAACTTAAGTTGTATGTTTACTAGAACTATTTCATGTAGTAATATTAAATGACTCATCCCACAAGAATATAAACATCTAAGGAAGTTTCCAAACGTGTGCTTGTAAGCTACAGAACGGTAGCAAAGAACATGTAAGCAGGAAGAAGGAAAGAGGTGTACTCTAATGATGTTATACACTGACTGCAAGTTCTTTCTTTTAAACGATGTTCCAAGATAAACTTGATTGGAACAACTGAGATTGTGATAAGCTGTTAGAGTAAACTCTCTCTTTTTCAAAGTGTACAGCAGTACAAAGCCGTGACTTGAAGACCTAAATATTCATTGGTGCTCTGGAAAAGAAAAAATAGAATTGCTCTGAAAGGAGTAGGTCATATCTGATCTCATTCAGAACTTAGTCTCTGTATTTATGCTTATATTAAATTACAATGAACATCAGTAACCAGTGCCAGCAAAATCAAGATACCATATGCTCAAGTGCACTTAAGTTTTTTGGTAGCGTGCTTGTTTTTTCCTTCTTCACCTGAGGCTTTGGAAGAGAGACAGGAAAGTATGCATTAAAAAGTGTGTTTCTTCGCCTTCTGCATATCTAAGCCGTTTAGTAAAAACAAAACTCCATTCCTTGCCCGTTATTCACAATATGAGTTAAAGTAAGGTAGAAAAAAAAATCCCTCAATCACATTTGAGACTTCACATCTTCAGTAAAGTCAGCAAAAACACATTCATTGATAAAGGAGTTGAACAGCTTGCAACTTAAGTATTGCTATATCCTAGCAACCTTAGAAAGAGTATTTGAGCTGAAAATGACCTCCAAGGAGAGGGAGTTTAAGGCCCTTGTGGTTAACAGGTTGGCCATTGAGCATGCAGCGAGACCAGTAGTATCCTGGGGGTGCATTAAGAACAGTAGAGCCAGGAGGTCAAGGTCAGTTCCCCTCCCCCTTTACTCTACCCTGATGAGGCCACTTGTAGAATACTGTGTCCAGTTCTGGGCTTCTCAGTTCAAAAAAGATAGGGATCTTCAAGACAGAATCCAGCAGAGGGCCATAAAGATAAGGGCTTGGAGCAGCTCTTGTATGAGAAAAGACAAAGACCTGGGACTATTCAATCTTGAAAACAGAGAGGATCTCATCACTATTTACAAATATCTAAACTGCAGGAGTCAAGTCGATGGGGCCAGACTCTTTTAAGTGGTTTGCAGCAAGAGTAATGGGCAACAGGCAGCAACTGGAACACAAGAAGTTCCATACAAACAAGGAAGAACTTACTGTCAGAGTAACAGAGCACTGGAACAGGCTGCCCAGGCAGGTTGTAGAGCTTCCTCCAGAGATATTCAGGATCCATCTGGACACCCTCCTGTGTTACTCTGGTAGTGGGGTTGGACTTAGTGATTTCCAGAGGTCCCTTCCAACCCTTACAGTTCCGTGATGAATCAAAGCAATATCCGTGGGTGAAATTCCCTAATTGTTTAGCTTGTTTCCAGAGCTTGAATGTTCTGATGTTGTTCTGTCCTCCAGTATTATTTACTATATCATTACAAGTGACTCCTGGTAGTTGATAATACTGATACAGAGAACTGATTTAAAGCTCCTGGTTCTCCAACCAGAAAGAAGATTTAACAGATGAAGTAACATACTGAGATTTATAATGGCTTGATTCTCTATCTTACTCCATATGATGCTAAGAAAATCCATGTTTTGAAAGCACTGGTGATCGGACAGAAGCTGGCAGCCACAGCAAGTAAAGCATAAACCTGGCACATTCCAGAGAATTCTTAGTGAGTTTGAGTAGAGCAGGGATAACCCAAGATGTTACTCTAGCTTTCATCATTTAAGATTCTTCTGGAGCTTAGCTTAACTAAAATAAATTCAGCTTTCCCCTTGTTTCTCATCCCATTCTTTGGGAATGGGTGCATCCCCTTGGTCTGCTCAATAGAATTTTGCCTACAAGAACCACCATGGTTGGAAAAGACCTTCAAGATCATCCAGTCCAACCATCCACCTATCACCAGTAATGCTCACTAAGCCATGTCCCTCAACACAAAATCCAAACATGCTTACTTTAAACAGCCCTGAAAGATTCAGTACATATCAAATGCAATTTCATTTTGAGATACTAAATCATTGTTCTGCATCAGACTAAACATCTGTTTAACCCAGTATCTTCTTCCACTCACGTGGAATAGTCAATGCTTAAGAAACAGAGCAGGGTAAACTGTAACGGTATTTCACACACACATCTTAGATTGCTTGAAGCACAGTACTTTGAATCACAGATTATATTTTAGTTAGTAACCCCTAGTAGATTTTTTTTTTTAAATACCCACTCATTTCTTTAAAAATATATTTCCTTCAGCAAGAATCTCCTACAGATTATATAGATCAATTATTAATTAACAGAGAAACATCACTTTTTCATGGGTGTCCAATCTTTTGGCTTGCCTAGGCTGCATTGAGTGAAGAGAAATAGTTTAGGGCCACTAGGTTGCTCTGAAAGTAATGCTTCCTATTTATTCCCATGGAACCCATAACAGATTAAATGAGTACAGCAACACTGTTTGCTAGAGCAAATTTTTAGCTACAAAACACTATTTTTCAGTACAGTCACTACCTTTAGTTATCCATTTTCATCAGTGATGAACAAGAGCCTGCACCACACCTGTAAAAATCTGTACCAACACAGGATACCCATTGTCACTGTCACCACTAAGATACACCACTCACAGCCTCACATTTCATAGCCTCCTTAAACATTCAGCAAGCAACAGTGGATGGCAATAGGTGCCTCACCCCCCTTTCCCCCTCTCAAAGGAATTCATTTCCACACCTTTGCTTGGTCAGCACTTCCACATCACACACCTTTTTGTCAGACTGTCCCTCTGCTGCCATCTGCCACAAGGCAACAACACATAATGGGATAGTGATAGGAAAGTTCAACCTCTACTGCCATACAACCAATGTCCACCTCTGATATCATGGGCCAACATAATAAGATAGGAGGTTTTACTTTCAGAGCAGCCTTCTTAAAATATATACTATAATTAACATAAAAATAGTAAAACAAAGTGTTTTGTTACTTATATTACAACATTAAAGAAAAAGAACAGAAACAAAACTAGAGGGTTGACCTTTTTATGGAAAAAGTACATTGGTCTGGTTTGATGACAGCGGTTGCAATGCCCAGTGATTTCTCAAGGTGTTCATCAAAGATTTTTGATGAAGTTTTACTCTTCCTCTGCATATTTGTCCTTAACAACTGTTCACAAATATGCACACTGCCAAAAAGCAATGACATGAATAAGGTGTGATTGCAAAGCAAGAAACATTTCTCTCTGATCAGTGAGGGCTTATAAAGGTCTGGTAAAGAAACAACCAGATTGAGTTGAACATCTGACTGCAACTTCATGCATTGCTTTTGAAAATTTGCTGGTAGTGTATTTATGTCAGCTTGGAATGAAGTTGACAACAAATTGATTTCTTTCCCCCCTCCTCTCCAGATTTGAAGCTCATTCTCAAATTCTTGTATCAAAATAGAAGACAACTACATATTTCTCACTGTTCTTGGGACTGTGTTTAGCCAATATATCAAACTGCACACAGTTATTTGCCATAAATAGTGTTAGCAGTGCCCTGCACTCTCCTTGTGTCCCAGTTTCAGCCCAGACAATGCCAATCTTGCAGCACTGTGCTTGCTGTGAGTGATGGGTGCACACCCAGCCACTTAATGGGGAAGAACCACAACCAGGGGGCAGCCACACTGCGGGCTGTGCAGGGCCACAGATGGAACATTCCTGCCCTAATTCTTACATTGAAGGATTTGTGATCAACTGGTTATTTCCCCACAACATTCTCAGTTTTAAAAATTCGAGCTATTCCCAACATACAGATTTTAATGTCTATCCAAACTCATTAAAGTAGGGCCAGTTTCAAAGTTAAAAACTTAGCACGCTCTCAATACAGTAAGGTTTCTAGTAGCAGTAACTAGTGTGAGGGCACTGAAAGAAACACAGTGCATTTAAACACTTCACATTTTAAGCAGTGCCAAAGCTAGTATTAAAAAGACTCTAGGTCTTTAAGAAATACATAGACTAGAGATAAATTCTAACACCTGTCTTATTAATGGAAAATGGTTCAATCCAGAAGTAATTCTGGAAAGCAGGATAGGAATCTGTATTCCTGAAAGATGGATTAGCCTTTTTTATATCTCAGCATTGGACTACTCATTTTCCTTTAAAGGAACAAAATGATTTCCTAGTCATTACTTCCTTCTTTATAGCATTTATATTTGAAAGTTATACTGAAACTTGACAGTTGTAACAGTAGCATGAACCTATTAATCCCATGGATCTAAGTAAACATGAACTGTAAGTTGATACAAACTCATTGGCAATACTGCTACAACTAATGATTTTCAGCTTTTAGATACGATTAATATTCCAAACCAGTCTTTTCAGAAAGATTACTTCAGACATTTTTTCAGCCATGAAATGACCCAGGTTTTAACATCTCTCTGCCTGAGATGACCAATGGCTGTGAGTCAGAATTTTTTTTTTTAAACAATCAAAAAAACAGTAGGTTTGTTGTTTTTTCCCCCCTCCCTTAAAATGTAATTACTGTTTTAACCACTGAATCTTGTCTGCCTTCTATTATTTTAACAGAAAGGCCTGTTATTAATTTCTCCCAGTATAAGGCAGAAAACAGGACATTATAACTGGAAGCTTTGTGCCACACAGATGCTATAAAGTCTAAAATTAAAATATAGAATTAAAATCTGATAAACTAACATAACCACTGGCTTCACTGTAATGATCACATTCCACCCACTTTGCAACAGAGGTTGCAGTTAGCCAAAACAATGACTTAGAAACTGAGTCACAGACAGTACATCTGTCCAACACACCTGATACGGCAGTTTCAGAGGCTCCCCACTGTTCACTACTGCTCTGCTAGTAAGTGCATAGCTTCTTCAGCTGTCATTCAATGTTGCAGAAGGCATGTGAATACTTCAGAGGCTGTACAATACTGTTATGGCTTCAAGCTTACAGAAGTGCTAGCACCACAGTTACTCATCACTAGGCAATCTAGCTTCACAGGGAACAGAGTTGACACATATGTCTATATGCAGCTACAACCAGAAATTGAGTCTGAGATATCACAGGCTAATTACCTGTCTGAACAAAAAGAGGCTGGACTTAATTCACTGCCTTTTAAAACACGGTTCATAGTTTACAGCTTTGCTAAGCCACATCCATCTCATCCACTGGAACATTAAATACAGTTGTAAGCCAATTGACTTAAGACAGAGTCCATAGATCATCTATGCCACTGAGTGAAGAAAAAGCCAAGTAAAAGATACAGTTTTAAGACCACGGTACTAGTTCTGTGGAGCTCAGCACACCAAACATACATAACACTAATGCATTGTTTTTTATACAATGTCATGTAAGTGATCCCCACTGCTACTTCCTCACACCTTCTTGGGAGCCATTATCACTAAATTGCTTCTTACATCTGGGTAGAAAACACACGGACTGATATCAAACCTGTAAAAGGACTAGTATGATTTTGGAAGTACCTCTGGAATATCAGTCACTGCCCTTCTACCTGGCAGGTCACAAGTATTCCATTATCAGACAAGAAGATGATAAACAAATCTGTCAGCAGAAGTGACTTAATACTCAATTTCAAAGCCACACTGAAGGGGAAAATGCCAACCTTTACCCTAGAGGTCTCAGCTACAGTCATCTAGTCTTCAACTTCAAGAATTCTGCTGCTCACTCTTGCCACCACAATAAAGGTCTAACCCTCTTCCCTATACTAGATAAGAGCAGAAGTTTCCATACTTTTCAGAGCAGGGACAGTATTACAGAAGCTCCACACCTGAAAGAGTTCTGTCCCCCAGTTTACTGAATTTCTGATGCAACGGAGGTCCTGTGCAGCAGAAAAAATTGCTATTTTCTTGTTATGTACTTAAGAGGAAAAGAAAAAACAACAAAAAGCAATCTGCACCAACACTGCTGAGTTTTCTGCTTTACCTTGGGAGTAAATGCTATAATTACAGTAGCTCTTTAACAGAGGTCTCTACAAGTGCTATTAAACAATAGCCAAGGGACAATTGAGTAGTGGAGGCCTCTCTTCTAGGTTTGTGCAGTTTCCTTATCTTTTTCCTCACTGCTGCTTTATTTGGGAATCAATAAAACATGAAGCTATTATTTTTCTCATGAAGTAATACTAACTTTCTTAGAAGTGAAAAAGCTCAAACATATTTTGCTATGATTAGTCTATTTTGGTTATTTATAAGTTGTTCAACAAGAGATCTAGTTTTAGCATCTTAGTTTTACAGGAGAACTTATGTAGCAAGGTGCCAAAGCCAGCATGAAATGTGAGTGTTGTGCCTCATTCCCTGACTTGGACTTCGGGGCAAAATAAGAGTCATCAGTAACATCTCTCCAGGTCAGAGTCTCTACAGAAAAAGAAAAGGAGGAATATAACATCAGCACAGTGTTTTAGCTTTAGTCCTCCAAACATACCTTTGAGAGAATAAGATGAGGAACCATAGAATTGCTCAGGTTGAAAAAAACCTTAAAGATAATCAAGTCTAACTGCAACCCAACCATACTACCCTAACATTCCACCACTAAATTATGTCCTGAGCACCACATCCTGAGAATTTAAACACATTCAAGGATGGTGACTCAACCACCTCCCTGGGAAGCCTATTCCAGCAATTAACAATCCTTTCTGTAAAGAAGTTCTTCTAGATATCCAACCTAGACCTCTCCAGGACAACTTGAGGCCATTTACTCTTGTCCTGTCACCAGTGAGAAGAGACCAACCCCACTCTCAGTGCAATCACCTTTCAGGTATATGAAGAGAGCAATAAGGTCTCCCCTCAGCTTCCTCTTCCCCAGACTAAACAGCCCCAGTTCCTTCAGTGTCTCCTCATAGACCATATTCTCCAAGCCCTTCACCAGCCTTGTTGCCCTTCTTTGGACCTGCTCCAGCACCTCCATGTCCTTTGTGTATTGAAGTGTCCCAAACTGAACTCAGCACTCAAGGTGAGACCTCACCAGTGCCGAGTATAAGGGCAGGATTACTTCCCTAGTCCTGCTCAGGATGCCACTGGTCTTCCTGGCCACCTGAGCACACTGCTGGCTCATATTCAGCCATCTATCACTACACCACTGCAAGTCATTGTAACTTACATATCCAGTCAGTAGTTGACTTCATGCAGCTTAAACTGTAGTCCTTTATACTTTCACAGAAAAAACAACAAACAGCCAAATATCCAGACAATGGAGGAGAAACTTACAGCTATGTCCACATCACATAGACTAACCATGAGATGACACTGACAGGCTTCGTATTCCTACTGAGCTTAAGGACAGGACAGCTGTAACTGGTGTGCTGTAATAGTATGGCAGGGATATGCATACATCAGTAATTATTTCCACGTACAAATGGAGACTTAAATGCACTTCTATTAAGTTTATTATTTAAATAGTGGATGGATGCATTAGTTACAAAAAGTGACTTAGTTTAGTGTTAAATACTTACTACAGTTTAATTGCAGCATCATAAACATGGAGGGCACTTCTGACCCTTAAGGAGTGCACAGCAACTTACAAAATATACAAGATTAATTTACTTTTGGTTTCATGCAAACCTATGATATTTTTCTCCCCTCCTGCCCCAATATTTGCAGTTATCTTCTCTTATAAAGAGACTTCCTTGCTCCACGCCCTGAAGGAAAAAAATAATGGTTAAAGTACACATACTCTGAGTAACACAAGTCAACTTGCTTCCAAAGGAAGGCTAGACATCAGTGACTGCCTCTTCTTATTGCAGGAAAAGATACTTGTGATTGAAATTGTATGTACTCAAATGCCCAACAAGTTAAATTCTGCAGACAGGATGCTGGACTGCAAAATATCCCAGTGTAAGATAGGCAAGAGTTTCATATCAAACTTAATTTTTCAGTGTGCTCTTGTTGAACAGAAGGCATCCAAGATTCACCAACTATTTCTGAAAATTTAGGAGGTCATTTGGGATTATGCAAGTTTTCTGAAAGCTCTTTCTGGAAAGGGTCAACAACTGAAGATTACACATGCATGTTTAGTAAGACTTCATGACTGACACCAGCTTTGAGTAACAGGATTGATTTCAGTCAAATCTGTTTCAGACACTGAAAATACAAGGAATTGTAATACCATTTAGTGTTGTTTGTTTTGACAAGAGAAGGTCTCATCTTAAGTATTTCCCAACTAAACATTTAGGTTAGCTTAGTTTGTATTTAAGTTACGCCAAACTGTTCTTTCCTAGAAGGAATTAAGATCTTTTAGAGGGCTTCTTGTATATTATGATCATTTCAATTTGTAACTTTCTGGACTCTGACAAATGCAAAAAAAAGCATATTGGTTATTGAATCTACAACTAGCAACAAGTTCCTACTAAAAGCTGTTAAGAATCAATCTATATGCATTTATGTTCAATCAAGATACCTACTTCGGCTGAAACAGGCCTGTAGCTTAAAGATGGCAAAAAGTGACACAGGAATCAAGAGTTAAAATACTTTGAGAAGCAACTAGACAAAGTAGTGTTTCTCCTTAGAGTTAAGGAATCTAGCTCGGTCAGTGCTACAAGAACCAGTATTCACAGTTACGTTCACATTCTATGTTTAACTTGAGTTTTATTTTAAATTGCCTTTATGTTATTTGCTATTATTTCACAAATAACCTAATGATCTCATTATATCAACGGACATATTACTCCAAGATAGTAATGGCTAAATGTTTGTAAGAATCCTACCAACCTCTACGTACGCTCCTTTTAGGCATCTCCCACACTTCCACTTCTTCCACCTCACATCTTGTGTCTCTGCGTTTTAGTGGGGGCTTGCCTATTCTCTTCTTTGGTTTAACCGGAGGTGGGCACCCTAGATAAACACCAGTTGTATCTTGAAGTCATACAAAAACCAAATTTAAGCTCAACTTTTCTTCATTGCTTCCAGTGCTTCTCTTTCCCCACTGTGTACACTACTCTGTGCCTATTCCACTGGCAGATAGAAAGCAGAATGTATAGAAATCACATAATATCACTTGCCAAGATCGGGAACTACCACTGCGTATGCACTTAAGAGATGCATTATTTGGGTGAAAAATTAATACTTCAGTTTATGACAAAGAAGTTTTGCACAAATAAGGGCTTTGCACATTCAATGATTACCCATAGTACCTTTAAATAAGTTTTCTCTAATGTACCACTATCTGTATATATTTGAGTTTAAGAAGGCTACGAAACATCCTGAGATGTATTGGACTGACAGCACACTTCAGCAGTAATAGAAGAGTAAGAATTAGTTTCCTTACCTTCGAATCTCACCAAAACAGTAAGTTTACTGTGTTTCATACTACACTCTTCTGGCTATTTCATAAAACAAACTTTGAAGAAAACGTACCTTGTTCTTTGCTCTTGGCTTGGGGTGAGAGGCTACCATGTATTTGTCCAGTGAATTTGGGTTTAGCACCACTTCTAATCCAATACTCTTCAGGTGGTATCCCCACGCTCTCCCATAACAGTCTTCCTAATAGAAGAGTTGATTTAAAAAAAATCAAATCAGTATTCTTGCTGGTTAATGTTAATGTACTGTTCAGTCAACCAGACAGTTTGCCGGAATGCAAAGCTAGCCACTGAATCTTGAGTTTTTCAGAAATAACTTTCTGGAGACCACATGACAAAAATTGCAGGTTACAGGCAGCTTTAGTTAAATCTGTAGATTTTGTAAGAAAAACAAACATTACCCACATTACTAGAAGTCCATCTGCTTTTAGATGCTTTTCACAGTAAGACTATACTAAACAGCAACCTCTCAGTGTACCAGTTATGAACCTTAGTAATTCTGCTTATTCTCATTTTTAGTTAAAAGTAGATACTAGTAGAAATTGGATTAAGTAAATAAGACTCTCCCAGACCAGATGTTATAGTTGCACACTGATTTTATAGAAACACAGCAAAACTTTGTTGCTAACTGCAAGACAGCAGCCAACAAAACCAATAGTTGGTGTTCCTGCAGAGAAGGGAAGTTACATAATGCATGGTCATCAGATTACAAGGAACTAACCATGTTTAATCTACCTAACATCATCTGGGATGAAAGGTCAAGTCTGTTTAAATTCAAATCCTACATTTCAAAAATATCATTACACAATGGTAAACGAGTATAATTAAATTGACCTTAAGCTTTTCAAATGAAAAAGTTACTACTAAGGTCAGAAAGTTAAGCCTATTAGTCTAACTCAAGAGTTTACTGCTGAGTTCTCTACTGACTGCTTTATCATTTTGCATCTTCAAACAGATGAACATCTGCCTAACAAATAATTCTGAAGTACTTCTGACTAAGCCGAAACTGAAATTGTTTGAACCCCCCACCCCCAACTGTTCAGCCTACAGTTTTTGCAGTTGCAATTTGTCCTTTACATTTTCTACTAACAAGCACCTTTTTCTCAGTAATTATCTTACCTCCCAAGAATTTCTGAAGTGTTCGCTTGTGTTCAACCTCTTCTCTTCTTGCCATTGGCCTCTTTCTTCCATAATACCCATAGTCACTATATACAACTTCGTCTTGTTCTTTCTCCTTTGGTTTGTAAACAATACCAATGTTTTCACCAAACCTACTCCTAGTTTTTATCTTCTCTTGAGCAGGCCAGCTAATTAAGTGAGTTGGAAAAGCACTTTTTGGTGGCTTCCAAAGCATCCTTTGGCCAACTTGTCGGTACAGATTTCCTTTGCTTGGCATCAAGATCCCATATGGAGCAGCTTCTTGAAAGAAATACTCTATTTCATCCGTATCATCATCTTCATATTCCTCATCCTCTTCATCTTCATCCTCCTCTTCTACCTGCATAGAGTATTCTTCTGAGTCCTCAATTTCTGACAAACTCTTGGCAGCTTTTTTCTTGAGAGAACAGATTTTTTTCCGACTAGAAGATCTAGGAAGGACTCTCAGCCTTCTACCTTTGCTGGAAGCCTCTTTAATCTTCATGGTTGAAGAATTTTTGACATCCTGGCCATTCAAACTGTTCACCTGCTCCCTTCCTACCACTTCATCTTCATTGAGGGACCCACCACTTTTAATTTTCTCTTTCTCCAAGCCCTCTGTACTTTTCTGGAAGGTATACGTGCTTTTCTGAAGCACATAGTCAGGTACAAAATAAGATACTGGGGCATTATCAATGGATGAGCCATCCTCTCTAGAGGACATGTCATCAGAAGAAAGACTAAGTACACTTTGACGTTTCCTTTGTGGCAAACACATGTCATAGCTGTAGTTCGCATCCATATTATCCAAACAAGCCAGCCAGCTGTTAGAAGGAACATACTTCTCAACTGATTCTTCACACCAAATACTTCTATCTGTTTGACTTTCATTGTTAGCACTATGGCTTAGATTCAGCTTTTTCTGCTGAAAACTCAAGTCACTCATTACCTCCATACTCGATGGAAGCAATCCTGCTTGTTGAATAAAGCTGGACTCTTCTTGAGAAGCTTTTGAACCCGTGGATCTCTTAGAGCTAGATTTCTTAGCTACTAGCACATCCTGTCTTACTGCTGGTTGGTCTATGGTAACAGATCTTGCTAATTCTGCTAGTTGTACTGCCATGGCTTCACCTGGAGGGGATTTTGCCCGTTGACCTGTAGTCACCTGCTTTTCTGCATCCAGCTTCACTTCATTATCTTGGACATCTTTTTCTTGCATAGTTTCAACACTCTGTTTTGAAGAGAGGACAGCTTTTCTCTCATCTATGTAAGTTCCTGGCACCAATTTCTCCCCTTCATGAGGGCCATATATCATTCCCTCACATGAGCTAACAGAAAATACATCACGCTGCACCATGTTCTCTGGGACTGGTTTACCACTTGCCACATCATACAAAGGAATAGTTTCTTTAAAGGACTTCCACAGTTGAATAGCTGGAGAGCCATTTCCGTATTCTATTCTCACCTCTTCCTTCTCAAAGGCATAGCTTCCAGTAGGAAGATTTCTATACTGTGTAGAGCTGGAAGGACTATTATGAAACTCCCTGTCTACCACAATGGAAGATCCAGATAGATCTTGTTTCTCTGAAGTACTTTCACTCTCTGTACCTATACCAGAAGAAACACAGGCCATATTTCCTGCATCACAACCTTTCGTTTCTGTATGGGTATCTTGATGCTTTTTTTGCTTGTTTTCAGGCTGTCTAGGATCAGTCTGTGTTTCTTTTGTCTCTGTTTTTCTCCCAGGGGAACTGTAGTGTCTAAATCGCGTTGCATGATAAAACATGGGAGAGGGTGGGGGAGCATTAAAATAAGGCCTTCTGTTAATTCTTGCATGCACTGGATGCTGTGGAACAAAAAATCCAGGGTACTCATGGAGTGCAACAGAATAAAGTGGAAAATACGGATGTCCACCCCGGAAGCCTAAATAATTAGAAACAAAAAAGAAATACCTTATTTCTGAAACAAGCCATTCTGATTAATAACTGCTCACATACACTGTGACTGCTCTGAGATCAGAGACACAGGCAATTAAAGCACTCCAGTTATGACTCTCTGGAAGCAAGTCTTGTAGAGAACCCAAAGTCTTCTGCATTACAGAACAGCTTATCTGGACAACTACACTTTAGAAGAGTGCTATTTTGCTGCCTTTTGTTTGCTTGTTGCCTCTCCCTTCTTTCACACATTGTTCTATAACATCATCTTCGCTAACAGAGTTCCAGATAGAAATTAACATAGGTATACTACTTACAAGATGTATTGTGATATTGTGGGTTCTCTTTCAAATTTGTATTTATACATACCTAAAGCATATATGTAAGAAGCTCACATAAACATATTCATTTTTAGTCATATTTAGAGCTGTGTATCCATAGGATAACAGTTATCATCTTGCAGAGTTCCCATTCTCCAGAATAAGATGCTTTTCAACACAGGCAGGCCACATTTGATTAACATTTCTGAAATTTAGTCCTTAACAGGACAAACCTTACATTAATTCCCCTTTAAACTCACAGGCAGCTTTTTAAACACACATTCCTCCACTCTAGGAGCAATTTACTACTTCAGATAGCAGTCATTTACCTTACCTGGTGCAGGCACACAGTATGGATTGTACGTATGGCTGAGGTACCATGGATGTTGAAAAGGTTGTTGCGCTGTTGGCTGCGCATAGAAGAAGGGTCTTGAGTGGTTTGTGGAATATGATCCACTCTCTGAAGCAGATGCAGTATTCATTTTTTTTTTTTTAAACGCTAAAAAAGATAAGTGACTTGGATTAATATTTTAAAACACTATGACCTGATGATTCTTATGCTCTATCAGAATTCAGGAGACATTTCTCTTCCTATCTTTATTTCTAACCCAGTGAAACAACATACCTCTAAGAAGAGTACTGTCTTCCATACAGAAGTTAGAAAACTAGTACTATCAAAGTTATTACTGTCAAAGACTCTAGTTGCCTTTTGATGAGTAAGCTTTTATATATAACTTGTAGTATTAGTACTTGAAGTTAAACTCATATCACATTTTAAAACCACAGTTACTTCAAGGTAGTCTTGCATACATATAAGTAGTATTTTCACCAGTTTAGCTTTTGGCCAATAGGTCTTCAGCAAAAAATCTCAAGAAACAAAAGAGAACAATCAGGTTTTGTATTTCATAAAGAAAGCACTTCTAGATGCTATCACATATGCTGTATTTGAGATCACAGTAAAGTTATTGATTCAGAGTTCTTACATTAAATGTATACAATAACAGTAGTAGTTAAGTAACTCAGTAACACCATGCTTCCTGTGCTTAAGTTAAGGCAACAACAACAAAAAAGCCCTAAGAAAAACTATACATAAGCTCACATTCAGAGCCACACAAGACAGAACTCCCATACTTCAGCATTTCCTCAGTTAAAGAGATTCAATCATATCAACCCAGTCAAGTAGTGTGATATTGTACAGCGTAGAAGCAAGAGCATAAGCATGCAAGGAGCATGGAAGGTCTCTGGGCTACATAGAAACAGACAGCTACTCAGCTATTTATATTTACAGAATGTAAATACTTAGGAAATACAGAGAAAAAAGATAAAAAACAAAACAAAACAATTCCAACCTGTTACAAACTAGCATACAACTCAGATCTAGAGTCTCAGAAAGCCCTCAAGAGAACCGGAGCCCTCTCCAGTTTCCATCCAGAACAGTTCGCCCTACAACCTTCTTTCACTCAATCAGGCCAAGGAGGCCCAAGGAAAAAAAAGAAGGTAAAAAATAATAATAACAAACAAAAGCCCTACAAAAAGCCAAGCTGCTTCTCCCCCACTAACACCCCCTCAAAATTAATGTCCTTGCTGCTGCTACCTCCAGCCCAGCAAGAAACTACCTTCCTCCTCAGCTTACCCTCTTTATGGGATGCAGCTGTTGCTTGCCACTCCCTCTTCCACCTGCAGCTCATCTGGCCATGATGTGGGGCCCCTTCCATCCAATGGAAGGCAGAATCAAAACATGAGGCTAGGAATAGCAGTAAAAGCTTTTATCCCGCAGGAAGAAACATGTTGGTATTGTTCCCGTGACTGGAATTGTGTAGTGGATGGCTATAAGCTCTTCAGAAGGGATAAACAAGGGAGGAGGGGGTGGTGGTGTTCTTTCTGTGCAAGAGAATGTTTGAATATTGTTGATCTCAGGGCTGGAAAGGATAAGGCTGAGTCTCTGTGGGTAAGAAATCAGGGGGAAGGCCAACAGAGCTGATTGTTCTGGTTGGGGTCTGTTATAGACTGCCTAAAGTAGGAAAGATATGGATGAAGTGCCCTACGAGCAGCAGGTAGAAGTTGCATAATTGTCAGTGAATGTTGTTATGGGAGACTTCAACTTCCCTGATGTATACTGGAAATATAGCAGCCTAGGAGGTTTCTAGAGAGTGTGATTACTATATTCCTGATGCAGCTGGTAATAGAGACTACCAGAGGAGGTGCCCTGCTAGACCTGCTGTTCACAGAGGACTGGTGGGAGATGTGAAGGCTGGGAGCTGTCCTGGCCAGAGTGACCCGGAAATGGTAGAGTTCTCTATTCTTGGTGTTAGGAGTGAGGTCAGCAAAACTGCTGCCCAGGATTTCCGGAGGGCAGACTTTGAACTACACAGGGCAGTGGTGGGAAGAATCCCTTGGGAGTCTGTTCTGAAGGGTAAAGGGGTCCAGGAAGGCTGGCTGCTCCTCAGGAAGGAAGTCTTAAAGGCGCAGGAGCAGGCTGCCTGTCCTGTAAGATGTGCTGGTGGGGAAGCAGACCAGCATGGATGAACAGAGAACATTTTGTGAGGGTACGGGAGTAGAGTCTACCTCCTGTGGAAAAAGGGATGGGCAACTCAGGGAGAGTACAAAGAAGTTGCTGGGATATGCAGGGAGAAAATTAGGAAAGCAAAAGCCCTGCTTGAACTCAATTTGGCCACTGTAGTAAAAGACAAAAATGTTCTACAAATAGATTAAAAGTAAGAGAAGGACTAAGGAAAATCTCCATCCTCTACTGGATGGTGTTGGGGAATGTGAACACTGAGGATAAGGAAAAGGCTGAGGTTCTCAAGGCTTTCTTGACATCTGTTTTTAAAAGTCAGACCAGTTATCCTTGGGGTACTCTAACTCCTGACCTGGAAGTCTGCAATGGGGAGCAGAATAAACCACCCACGATTCAGGTGGAAACAGTCAGAGACCTGCTACTCCATGTGGGCTGTCATACGTCCATGGGGCCAGATGGGATCTACCTCAGGGTGCTGAGGATGCTGGCAGAGGTGATTGTCAAGCCTCTTTCTATTGTCTATCAGTGTTCCTGGTAACCAGAATGGTCCCAGAGGACTGGAGGCTTGCTAATGTGACTACAATTTACAAGAAAGGTCATAAGGAGGAGCTGGAGAACTACAGGTCAGTCAGCTTGACCTCGGTGCCAAGAAAGGTTATGGATCAGATCATCTTGAGATCATATGGCATGTGCGGGACAACCGAGGGATCAGGTCCAGCCAGCGTGAGTCCATGAAATGCAGGTCCTGCTTGACTAACCTCATCTCCTTCTATGACCAGGTGATCAGCCTGGTGAATGAGGGAAAGGCTGTAGACATAGTCTACCTAGACTTTAACAAAGTACTGTCTGTCACAGTATTTTTCGGAGGGCCCAGAGAGTGGAGGTGAATGGAGTTAAATCCAGCTGGTAATAAATCATGAGTGATGTTCTGTTCCAGTGGGGCTGGTCCTGTTTAATATCTTTACTGATGACCTGGATTAGGGGATTGAGTGCACCTTCAGTAAGTTTGTAGATGACACCAAGTTGGGAGGAAGTGTTGCCCTTTAAAGGGATCTGGACATGCTGGATTGCTGGGCTGAGGCCAATGGGATGAAGTTCAACAAGACCAAATGCGGGGTCCTGCACTTTGGGGTCACATCCCCAGGCAACACTAAAGGCTTGGGGCAGAGTGGCTACCTCTAGTGCAGAGGTAAAGAACCTGGGGGTGCTGGTCAACGCTTGCCTCTACATGAGCCATTAGTGTGCTCAGGTGGCCAAGAAGACCAAAGGCATCCTGGCTTGTATCAGAAATAGTGTTGCCAGCAGGAGCAGGGAAGCGATCTTCCCCCTGTACTCAGCTCTGGTGAGGCTGCGCCACAAGTACTGAGTTCAGTTTTGGGCTCCTTGTTACAAGAAAGACATTGAGACCATGAAGTGTGCCCAGAGAAGGGCAACAAAGCTGGTGAGGGGTTTGGACCAGAGGCCTTATGAGGAGCAACTGAGGAACTGGGATTGTTCAGTCTGGAGAAAAAGGAGGCTCAGGGGAGGCCTTATTACCCTCTACAGTTACCCGAAAGGAGGCTGTGGAGAGGTGGGGGTTGGCTTTTTCTCCCAGGTATCTAGTGACAGGATGAGAGGGAATGGCTTCAATTTGTGCCAGGGGAGGTTCAGGTTGGATATTAGGAAAAACTTCTCTGAAAGTGGTCAGGAACTGGAATGGGCTGCCCAGGAAAGTGGTGGAGTTGCCGTCCCTGGGGGCGTTCAGAAAATGTGTAGATGTGGTACTAAGGAACATGGTTTAGTGGTAGTAAGTGGACAGTTGGACTAAGTGATCTTAGAGGTATTTTCCAACATTCATTATTCTATAATTCTTAGAAAGCTAGCGGCAGTTTTAACCTCCATCCCTAAGCCACTTCAATATACCTCAGTTATAGCATTGGAAATATAATTAAGAAAAAATGTGTGTTGAAGGTAGTATTACTAATTTTCCAGTTAAAACTACTATTAGAGTTTTTTTGTTGTTGGTGGCTTTGTTTTTTGAGGGGGAGAGGATGGAAGGCAGAAATTCATAAGATGAAATTTACATCATTTTTTTGAAGTTTATCACCTGCTTGGTATTGACTAAAGGGAACAGTGATCTTCCCTACTAACACAGCTAAGTGGATTGACAAAACGTAGTGTTCTTTCTGTGCGAGCAAGTGAAGCATTTATTCCTTTCATATACTCTACCACATACAGTGGATTGTTAAATTTTGGTTATAACTTGACCCTGTCCTGGGTCTCAGAGGAGATGTGGTCAGCATAGCCCTGCACGGGGCCCCAGGGAGAGAATAGAAGAAGGTGGGAGCACAGGGAGCGTGCTGTGCACGCAGCGAGTGACTGGAGGCAAGCAGACGTGTGGCTGCCTTGAGGGAGTTGGTGTTTTTAAGCTGGAAAACGCTCCTGTCACTTTATTTTATTTCCGTACTATTCAGATTAAGCTTGCCCGTTGCTGTAAGATGTGAACTACGCCACGGGCTGTGTATGGGAAGGAGGGCCGATCTCAGCAGGCACACCGCGTCGTTCTCTGACAGGAGCTCTCGTGTGCTGACCGTTGGCCGCCTGCGTGTCTCACAGCGCATCTGGCGCGCTTGGAATTCCCAGCTCATGCATTCACCGCAAAAACCTTTCGCCCTTAAAGGGAAATTCCCAGCCTTCCTTTCGGTGGCTTAAAGGCTGTGAAGCTCAAACGGAAATAAATACAGCGCACGGCAGGGGGGTTGAAACTCGATGATCGTTGTGGTCGTTTTCAACCCAGGCCATTCTTCTGTTCTATGAAATACATAGACGCTCCCTGGTTTCCAACGTATTCCCTGTCGGGATATGTTTTATGCTCGCGGACCACACGCCAGCCCTCAGCCCGCCCGCGGCGCTCGGGGGCGGCGATCCCGCCGCAACGCTCCCGCCTGCACGACCCGCGGCGTCCAGCAGGGGGAGTCGCCGCGCGCTCGTTCTGGGGCCGGCGCACACGCGCACTCGCTCCTCCCCGGACGCCTCTCCCGCCCTGCCCGCAACGCGCCTGCGCCTTCGGCGGCGGAAGCTCCGGGGCGGCCGCGGTTGCCTTGGTGCGCGGGCGCTTGCGTAGGCAGGGGAAGCTCAGAGGAGTGGAACAGGAAATGGAGGCGGGCCGAGGCGCCGGACTTGGCGCGCGTGGGGCTCTTCCTCACCGCCCCCCCTCCCCGCCTCGCGGCTGTGCGCATGCGCAGGGGCGGCCGCGCGCGGCGCGTCTTAACGGCCGCCGAGCGGCGGTGATGCTGTGGGGCTGAGCAGCGGGCGGCGGAGGGCAGCGCGCCTGCGCGCCGGGTGGCCGCCGCCTCCGCAGCCCGGGCGAGACCGGATCCTCCGCCCCCGCTTCCCCGGCCCGCTCGCCGCCCGCGCTCGGGACTCCGAGGCGGATGAGGACGCGGCCGTCGGAGGTTTGTCCGGCGGGACGGCGGTATCCGAGCCGCTTCCCGTCTCTCGGGGGCCGGGCGGGGGGAAGGAACCGCGGCGAGCCGAGGCCCGCGCGGCGGCCTGGCGCTCCCCGAGCCTGGGCGCGGCTCCCTGCCGACCCTCGGCCGCTCCTGGCCGGCGCTGCGGCCGCGGAGCTCGGGCGGGGAGGCGAGGCGGTGCCGGGGCGGGCGGCGGCCGGCCGTAGGGCTGCTGGCGGTGCGGCGGCACGGAGCGCCCTGCGGGCGGGGATAAACTCGTTCCTGGGTCCTGCCGAGGGGAGCGCGGCTGTGCGGCTCACGGAGGGGGCGCGTTCGGGGCTTCGCTGCCCGCAGAGCTGCTCGGGAGGGCGCACGGCGCTGCAGGTGGCGTGCCCGAGCCTTCTGCCCATCCACCTCGCCCCGTGCTCCGCACGCGTACGGTGTCAGCATCTGCCGTGACCGCGGGTGGGCTCTGGCGGTCTGTATGTGGATCTGAAGAGCCGAACGGGTCTCGGTGAAGTTATACGGGCTGAATAGGGATCGAGTGGAGACTGTAAAAGAGCTGCGGAATCAGCCATCTGCGTGCCTCAGATTTTCCAGCGTTTGTTATGACGAGCAGGGTAGCTATCTGCCGCTTCTGGAGTGACTTCTAACCGTGACTTAGGAATGGGTTTGTGTTGTGGTTGGCATCTGCGGCCTTAAGAGCTTTCCTTGTGAAGCTAAGGCTTAGCTTTGTGGTCACAGCAGAGCTTTGAGATTGTGTTCTGGTGTGAGCCCAGCGAGGGCTGTGTCCACATGAGTTCTCTGAAGAAGATGTGAGTTAGAAAACCTTCAGGTATGTCATCAACTCAGAACACTTATCAAAAACTGAACTAGGGGGAGCATGTAGTTCCTAACGTTTGATATTTCAGAATACTCAGGTGTGTAAAACTTGACTGAGATTACAGGTGTCACACGTCTTTCCAAATTATTTTTGCACGTGGATGTAAAAGGGGCTGGTTATACACAGTGCTGGGCAACCAGCACCGTACAGAAACAGAGCAGAGCTGAGTATAGGATGTTGCTGCTTAGTGTTTTTGATTGAAGTTTGGATGTGGTTGTAGTTCCTTTTATAACACAGATGTTTTGATATTGGTCATGTGACCATGAAACAGGCCATGATCCCAAAATGTCTCATCCTTAATTCAGTAGCAGTTGCATGTTGAGAATAAGTTTTACATGGCTAAAAAAGGTATCTGTTTTAAGTCTCTAACCTTTCAGGAAGTAATTCATGGTTAGTTGAACTGCATTTGTTAGTAGGGTTAATATCTTAATGTATAAATGCTTGAGTGTGCAGTTAAGTAATTGCAGGGATATGGTGACGTTCAGGGAATGATGTACTTGGAGTTTCAGTTCTTCAGAAAAACATACCAGAGTTCAAAGGGGGGAAAAAAGAAACAAGATGTCAACACGCTTCCACACCCTGGTGGTACATGGCTGGCTTTGCTGGAGACGCCTTGGCCCACTTATTTTCAAAGGTTAATTCTCTGAGACAGGCCAGGTCTTTCCACGAAACAGAAATGCCCTTGGGGATGGAAACTACCTGTGCTCAACACAGAAGGCCAGTTGCCAAGTGAAGTTGCTGGTTTATCTTGTGTTAATTTTATTTCTGAGCAGGTATTTCCTTTAGTGCGTGACTTCCTTTAGGAGCAGAAAAACAGGAAAGAAACTGATGCTGAGGAGTGCATTGTGACCAAACGTGTTGTTAGCCTGGAGTCTGGCACTTCCAGGCTCTAGCTTCTCTCCAGTTCCAGACAGCTCACCTGCCTTGACTTGTAAGTTGCTTCCCTGTGGTAATATATGGAAAATAATACAAGCTTCCAAGTGGGCAGCAGTTTTTGAGATAAAAACATTATAAGAATAAATCAATCCTTTGTTTTTGTGAGATTTCACATTCTTGACTTGCTAGAATCTTCTTGATGTTCTCAGGTTTCTGGATGACAGTGCTTTCAAAGCTAACTTTGATAGCTTTAGAAAAGAGGAAAACATCTTGCCTCATCAATTACCTATTTCGTTTTCTCTGCCAAGGATGCAAACTCGATACATTACTCAGGAATCCAGAGTTTCCAACGCCTCTTTTTCTTTCCTTTCTATCTTTGAGATCAGTTGGCTAGATGTATTGATTTAAATAATTGATTTTAATCATTTTTAGTACTTGTATTCCCTTTCGCCATTAGTTGGGATAACCATCTTGAAAACACATTACTTTGTAACTCAGTGCACTGTTAATCCTAACCCAGTGTAGGTGCTTTGATACATAGTGCTTCCCTTGCTCACCCTGCACAATTGAGTTCTTGTGTAGTTTGGCTTACAGTTGTGCAGTCCTTAATTCTGACATTTCATTATGTTAAAAATAGTGAATGACTCACTTCATTAGACAGGTTTTTACTTGTGATTTGTATGAAGCTGCACTTAGATGGGAATTGGAATTTGATGGAAAGTCCACAAATATGGCATTTAAATCTTTTTATTAGTTAAATCTAAGTCGAGTAAGTTGACTGTCCAGGAAAGTAAGGTGCAGTATGTGTAAGGACAAAATGCTATACAGGGAATTTGGAAAAAATAGAGCAATTTTTTTTTTTTTTAAGGAAGATCAAGCCTAATTAGTTTAATTGAAGAATATTATATCTATATATCTCATTCTTCTTCCTGCTAGTGAGGCTAGAAATCAGTATTTTTTCCTACAATACAGATTGAACCATAGGACAGCGTTTGTACGTGTGTAGTGCAGGATGTCTGTTCATTAATCTTTGTCTGACCTCAGAAGAGAAACAGATTCCAGGAAAGCAATTAATAGCTTGTCCCATAACTCATTAACATCTGATGACTAACTCTTCAAATGGTCCAGCTCAGATCTGAAGTACGTGAACAAGTGTGAAAGCCACCTCATTAAAATTGCTGAAGCAAAAAAGAATAATTACTTTCGCCCTCTTACCTGTCTGTTGTCCCAGCCTGACAGGGAGTTGGTTTGGTTCTCTGGGTAACAAAGTGCTGCAGTTTGCAGTCCAGTACTGCAGCAGCCTTCCAAAAGCCGCCTGCTGTCCTGCTTTAGCTAGCTCACTTCTGAGAATTTACCCAGCACAAAACGGTCACGTTGCTGAATTGAGGGGACCTTCTATTCTACCATCTTCGGTTCAGGGCAGCATGCCAACTTCAACTGTAAATCTTTTCATCTGTAAAACAGGAATGCCTATCTGTGTAACTGCTAGAACCACAGGATGGTAGTTGTGCAGACATCCTGTCACGCTGATAACATCAGTGTCACCGTTTTTCAGTTAGCTGTGATTTACGAGCTGTGTGCCAATCAGGCTCAGTACACTGATAAAGGCAGTAGGCTGGGACCTGGGAGGATGGAGCCTCTTACCAGTTTTCCTTTGAATGTGCTGATTCTTATTGCAGTGTCTCAGTTTCTTAACCTTTGCAGTGAATTCATCTTTCAAAACAATCTTGAACTCTTCAGACCTAGGTAGTCTGGGATGTTTTAAACAAATTCACTTCACTTGGGCAAATGAATACTGAAGTAGTGATTGCTTTAGAACAGAGATTCAGAGTAAGGATTTTAAACTGGAAGAGGGTTGATTTAGACTAGATATTAGGAATAAATTCTTCACTGTGAGGTGGTCAGATGGAACAGGCTGCTCAGAGAGGCTGTGGATGCCCACTCCCTAGAGGTGTTTGAGGCCAGGCTGGATGGGCCTGTGAGCAGCCTGCTCTAGAGCCTACAGCAGGTGGTTGGAACTAAATGATCTTAAAGGTCTCTTCCAACCCAAACTATTCTGTGGTTCTTCAGACCCTGGGTGAGTTGCTCTCCTGAGAGTTCGATACAGTTCCACTAGGAGGGAGTGGGATATGACCTTGTGCCACATACAAACATTTGTTCTTTAGCCAATGGTTATCTCTAGCAGCAAGAACTCAGCATGGATGGGGAAACCAGGAGTGAAGTATGTAGTGTATTTTATGAACAGAACTCCCCAGTACACATCATAGAAGAGAATGCTGGATCAGCTGGAAGCCAGAGTCCAGCTTTGTGAATTTACAGTCTAAAGGTGATTCAGATCACATACGTGTTCTGCAACGAGACTCCTGGCATCTCCTCAATCTTCTCTGCCACTGAGGGTCATGCTCAAATGTTCTAGCTATTTATAGTAATTAATTTCACAGTTTCGACTTGTCTTCTGTTAAACAGGTCTGCTTTTTCAGTCATAACTGTCAGTTGCATTGCCAAAAATGTATTTAATCTTACTAGGTGGTGTACATCAACTTATTCATGGGATCTGAGGACGGGTTCTGTTATGTGATGACTGAAACGGTGCGCACTGAAGTTGCATTCTTTCCCTTGCTTGTCCTGAAGGTTTGGTATTTAAAATCACATCAGAATGGGAAGCTTTTAGAGATGACTTTCTTTGAGTCAGGCCCAGCAGTACTGATGCTCTGCCTGAGCACAGCTTAGTGCCCCAGCCTGTACTGCTGAGACTAAGCCAGGAAAAACAATGTTGCGGAGACCCTGGATCCCAGCAGGGCCCTGAGCTATTTATTTCTGTGGGCCTGACACCCTTAGGGAAGTCTGTGTGTCTCTGTAGCCATTTAAAGTTCAGTGCAGAATCTGTCAATGGATTAGGTTGCACGTTAAGCTATTATCAGATAACCAGGGTAGTGGTCAGTAATGTACAGATGGAGTGCATGCTGACTCGGTGAAAAGAAACCACGACTTGAGGCAAAAAGTCATTGCTTTAGATAAGCAAATTCCATGATATGCATCTGCTTTAGTGACCTCAGCATTTAACCGCACTTGCAAATTTAAGATTTGAAGTAAAGAATTCATGGTGATATCAGTTATTTCATCAGGAAGTAATCACTCCTTCCTCTTTCTCCAAATATTAACCCTTTTTTAACTTTTTTTTTTTTAATTAACTGGTTTCATTGGAACAAACAGTGAATATTGTTTTTTGTTATTTTGACTTTCCTGGTTAAATAACAGTGATACCTAAAAGTTAGAGATTCCTGTTTGTGTACATTTGCTAAGGGGAGGGAAAAAAAAAGATCTACGTTAAACTTGTAGTAATTGAAGTGGCATTAATTACCTGTCAGACTGCTGTCTTTGAGTGGTATTACAGGCAGGCTCTGTTGGAATAGCAGATTTCTGGTATGGCTGGCAGGTATTCACCTTACACTGAATCTCAGCATTTTGGATGGAAGTTGAAGTGTGCCATTTCAAGGAAGGTGTATTTCATGTGTTGTTCATGAACTGCCATGAAAGTGCTGGCATTACCAGGTGTTAGACAAGTGTGTTACTGGTTATTCCTCAGTTTGGGGATGTAGAAGAACAGTGCAGTATTAAACAAATGTGGAGGTATATATGTGATAGATAGGGTACTCTGGGGTCTTTTATGGTAATATTTTACTGTCACAACTCTCCCATCCTTATTGCATGTCTGTGTTCAGGTGGAAGGTAAAAAGAGGAAAAAAAAATCGACCTCCTTTTTAAGAGAAACAGAAATGTTCAAACAGGAAAGCAGACCTTGATATGTATAAGAGTATATATTACTCTTATAACTACTCCAACTTTTTTTGACCTCTGCTATTCCTACATTCCTTTGCTCCCATTCTCTCCTTGTTTTTTCTTTCCTCTTGCTAGCAGTGGTCACACTTCCCTGCTTGTTTGGAAGTTATGCAGGAGGAGAAAAAAATAAGTGGAACATTAATACATGAAGCCCTTCTGCACAGGGGTGATTAATCAAATAAACATTGGGAAATATGGGTTAGGTTTTTAAATCCTTAGCTCTCTTTCTTCTTATTCTGTGGTAGAACACAAAAGGTGATAGGTGGAAAAAGTAAACTGATGGATTTTGATGTTGAGAATTCAGTTGGGAAGCGATGGGATGCTGAAGAAATGGCATTTGTATTCTTAGCAGCCCTGGTGCCAATAAGCTCTGAGCAGACACAGATGTACCAACACAAAAAAATAGCTGCAGCTTTTCATTGCAGGTAAAGCAGCTGCCTTAGCTGTGCTCCAAGGGAACACGCAGGCAGAGTTGGTGGGAAAACCAAGTGATTCTTGCAAGAGGATTAGTCTTCTTGAGCCTTGTTTTTGCTCTAGCCTTAAAAGCTGTGCTGACAAAAGAAAGTATCTTGATTTATGGGTTGAGAACTTGAGAATTCATATACAAGCTCTCCTGCTTTTCTCTCTGTATTTTTGTAGTTTGAGTTTTCTTTCTATGTTTTCATGCAAGCATTATGCACAAACTAGAAATCAGTCTGTTAGACAATTACTTTTAATGGGTAGCTATAAAAGGGAAATGGAGAAGTGCTTGTGTGTAAATCAATTTTATTTTCCTGCTTTCAGTCCCTCAAGTGCAGCCACTGATCACGAGATGTTACCACAGAACCTACCTCAGACTTCGCTTTTGCCGATTCGTTTCCTGCATCGTTATCAGTCTCTCCAGGAGCTCTGCAGACACTCTTGAAAAGTCTCTGAACATATTGTGCCATCGTCAAAGAATGATGACCTAACGTAGGTCAAAGTCTGGAGCATTGATCCAGCTGTCAAAGATAACGCTGCCTTTTTGTTTGATCGGTATCACTTCTGAACCTACTTCAGAAACGTTCAGCTGACCTTTATCTGGCAAAAAGATCTTCACTTTTTCACTCTGGTCCTGGAAATATTAATGGAATACAGTCATGTCTACCCAGGACGAGAGGCAGATAAATAGTGAATATGCTGTGTCCTTGCTGGAGCAGTTAAAATTCTTTTATGAACAGCAGTTGCTAACTGACATAGTATTGATTGTTGAGGGTACGGAATTTCCCTGCCATAAGATGGTTCTTGCAACATGCAGCTCATACTTCAGGTAAGCATTCAAAACAGGGCTCCTTAATTGAAGAGAAACTGCAGTATCTGCTTCTGTGTGTAGTTTAGATTAATTGATTAACAAATAATGTGTTGCAGAATGTTCTAGAGTGAGGTGAGAAAGTTTATGAATACATATATATATTACTTGCTGACATCAGAAGAGTAACACACATTTTCCAGCACTTGTGACTTATTTTGGAGTTTTTCTACAGGAAGTGTGAAAGGAAAATCACGTTTGCAATGGTAGTATTCCTTAGGGAGTTGATTTAAATCTTAATGAACTTCTTACTCTTCATACTCAAACATGTTGTTCCCCAAGATGAGGTGACTACAGGTCGTTGAAACTTGGCAGTGGGAGTTTCATTGCCACGTTCATCTGTATTTTTCTTAGCAGAAGTTTGCTGAAAGGAGGGAGTGCTGTGCAAGCTCGTGGCTTCCTTTTCTAAATCATCTGTTTTGGTTTTTTTCCCCTCTGCTCAGCAGTGAAGCCTGAGAGTCATGCAGTGGTGTAGCTTTTAATTTGGGAAGCTATTCCAGGATTAATTATTTTCACAAATTTTTGTCCCAGCTATTGTTTGTATTCATTTTTCTTCATTTCAGATGAATCTGGTACAATTTTTAGCAGCAAGTATTTTGTAATCACTAGATAATGATTATTGCTGTTGGCCTTCTGCAGATGACACAGTTCCAACTGTCTATAAAATCACAGCCACTGGAAAAGTGGCCAGACTTAGTGTGGGTGGCTCTAATCATAAGGTTGGAAAGCTGTCATGAGTCCATGCAGTGTGAAGCATTAGAATATGCAGTCAAATCTCTTATTCATATGTGTGTTTATTATTTATGGAATGAGGTTTTGGCACTGGTTGAAAGAAGTATCGAGCTTGTGGTTTTGTCATATTCTGTTTTTTTTTCCTCTGCTTTGGTTTACAAAAAGATGTTCAGTTTCCTAAATTTAGCCTTATTATGAAAAATTGATAGTCCTAAAGGAGGCTGTGGGGAGAGGGGGAAGACCCAAAAGGCATCTCTTACTGATCCAGCCATCCTGTATTCAGCAAGCTTACCTTCCAGCTCTGTGCTCGAGCACTGCTAGCACTACACAGCTTTGGCACGTGCTGCTTGGCTGTGTGTAGGCATGCTCTGGAGCCAGGTTTTGTAACAGCTGCCTCCTTAGTTTTTATGATGGGCAGCCTCTTTGGTATTTTTAAACGTCTTGCTTACCTTTAAAAAAAGCTGCCTGGCAAGTTGAGATGCTCACATGGCTAGTGATTCCACTTAAACCACAAGTTTGCCCAAGTTAAGCTTAGAAGAGGACAGATTGAGTTGGGGCAGGAGGAGGGCAGTGGGTGCTGTCTTTGTGTCAGGTACTGCTGAAATGGCTTTGCCTGGGGAGTGTATCTCCATGCTGCATTCACTTCTGCAGCTGCAGGCAGAGCTACAGGGTGCACCACTGTTCCTCCAGACTCCTCTCAGATCTCGTTTCCTTCCAAGTTCAAAATATAAAGAAACCGAAGCTGAATTTATCACATAAGTATTAATAATTGCTTTTGTGCTTTTTGGGAAGGTGCAACAGAGATACTTTAAGGATCTTTTTTTCCTGCCCTTGATTAATTTTTTTTGTCTACAAACTTGAATTTGCTGTACGCTGTAAATGGTACATAAGAGCTTCACAGAGTGCTAATGCTTGCTCCTTTCTCTGACCTTTCTCTGCCTCTCAGAGGAGCATGCTTTTGGTACAACTTACATTTATGCAATGGACTGAGCTGTTTCTTTTCATTTTAGAATCTAAAATCACTGTTATCTTTTAAGCAAGATGTTTTGGAGAGTGTTTCTTCCCTCTTTTCAGTTGATGGAGGAAGTGTGAAATTCCAATCATTAGTTCTCTGCCTATTAAGACAAATTAGTTTGCATATATATAGATAGATAGATAGATATGAAATGATTTTACAGAAGGCACTGATAGTACTTCTCAAATGTTCAGTACGAGTGCTTTAATACTGGATGGTAGCCTGAGGAAAAATACTAAATATCTGTAAACAGGCAACCAAAAAAAACCTGTTTACCTTTTACTGAAGACTTACCAAGTGACTGTTTACTGATGGTTCTTGTCTTAATGTGTGTGTTTTTCTTCAGAGCTATGTTCATGAGTGGGCTAAGTGAAAGCAAACAAACACACGTGCACCTGAGGAACGTGGATGCAGCCACCTTACAAATTATAATAACATACGCATACACGGGTAACTTGGCGATAAGTGACAGCACAGTAGAACAGCTTTATGAAACTGCCTGCTTCTTACAGGTAGGAGTGTTTTACCTTGAATATGAAGTAACTGCTTTAATTTTGGAACTGTTTCTTCTTTGACCTGTTAGGTTTAGAAGCTTCAGAAAACTCATGTTCAATTTACTTAGTATAGATAGCAGTTGCCTGCCAGATATGTTTCATGTATACATCCCTCCTTGCTTTATCTTCCCTGCAGAGGGTGGAAGCAGAACAGCATGCTTGCAGCACTTGGTAATTACTTTCTCAAACAGCCACTGTAATGTAACATACAAAATCTGCATGAATCCATTGAGTACTGCTGTGTTTTTGTGTATATTATGTTATTCCAGGCCTAAGCTCTGCTGTTTAGCCCAAAACACAAACACTTTCACCTGCTGATGGAAAGTGAAAGAACAGATTGTCTGTGGCAATACTAAATTCTTTTCTTTTTGCATTACAGGTAGATGATGTGTTACAACGGTGTAGAGAGTACTTAATCAAAAAGATTAATGCAGAAAATTGTGTGCGCCTGTTAAGTTTTGCCGATCTCTTCAGCTGTGAAGAGTTAAAACAGAGTGCTAAGAGAATGGTGGAGCACAAGTTCACAGCTGTGTACCACCAGGAGGCTTTCATGCAGCTGTCACATGATCTACTGATCGATATTTTAAGCAGTGACAATTTGAATGTGGAAAAGGAGGAGACAGTTCGTGAAGCTGCTATGCTATGGCTGGAGTACAACACAGAATCACGGTCACAGTATTTGTCCTCTGTTCTTAGCCAAATCCGAATCGATGCACTTTCAGAAGTAACACAGAGAGCCTGGTTTCAAGGCTTACCGCCCAATGATAAGTCTGTGGTGGTCCAAGGACTGTACAAATCTATGCCCAAGTTCTTCAAGCCCAGACTTGGTATGACAAAAGAGGAGATGATGATATTCATTGAAGCTGCTGCTGAAAACCCCGGTAGTCTTTATTCTTCTGTCTGTTACAGCCCACAGGCAGAGAAAGTTTACAAGCTCTGCAATCCTCCTGCTGACTTGCATAAGGTTGGAACACTTGTAACTCCTGATAATGATATCTATATAGCAGGGGGGCAAGTTCCTCTGAAAAATGCAAAAACCAATCACAGTAAAAGCAGCAAGCTCCAAGCTGCCTTCAGAACTGTGAATTGCTTTTACTGGTTTGATGCACAGCAAAACACTTGGTTTCCAAAGACGCCGATGCTCTTTGTTCGTATCAAGCCATCCCTGGTCTGCTGTGAAGGATACATCTATGCAATCGGAGGTGACAGTGTCGGCGGAGAGCTCAACAGGAGAACTGTCGAAAGATACGACACTGAAAAAGACGAGTGGACCATGGTAAGCCCGTTGCCTTGTGCGTGGCAATGGAGCACGGCGGTAGCAGTTCACAACTGCATTTATGTCATGGCACACAACTTGATGTACTGTTACTTTCCCAGGTCAGATGCTTGGGTAGAAATGGCTATGCGACAAACAAGCAGATGTTTTGCTTCAGCTGCCGCTTTTGGCGATAAAATATTCTATATCGGAGGACTCCATATTGCCAGCAACTCTGGTATAAGACTCCCAAGCAGTACTGTAGATGGGTCTTCCGTAACTGTGGAAATCTACGACGTGAATAAAAACGAATGGAGAATGGCAGCTAATATCCCTGCCAAGCGCTATTCTGACCCGTGTGTGAGAGCTGTTGTCATCTCCAACTCTTTGTGCGTCTTCATACGAGAAACCCACATGAATGAGAGAGCGAGGTATGCCACCTATCAGTATGATCTGGAACTCGATCGCTGGTTTCTAAGACAGCACATATCGGAACGTGTGTTGTGGGACTTGGGCAAAGACTTTCGGTGCACTGTAGGAAAGCTGTATCCATCTTGCCTCGAAGAGTCCCCATGGAAACCTCCAACGTATCTCTTCTCACCAGATGGAGCGGATGAATTTGATCTGGATGGGGAGATGGTTACTTTACCACCTGTATAGCTCCCAAATTAGACTGCACAACTGATTCAGTGTACAGTTACCTTGAAATAAATGATTGTGAGAGGTCTGGGAAGAAAAATGTCCAATCAGTCCTTCATGAGTTGTATTTTTATGCCCTACCAAATACTTGCAGCAGTTCAGTATGAATCGATGAAATAAGCTGGTATGCTTCCATAATCTGAAATAATATTATCTGATAATTGAGAAACATATATGTATATCATGATCTTAGTCATCTGACTTGTCTAAAGAATTAATTTCTAGTTCTATACAGCCTGTTTCAGGAAAACTAGCTTCAGAAAAAAAAAAGTAGTTACTGTTTCTAGGATGATGTCACAACTCTTCTGAAAGTACCTTCCAGTTATATTTGAACTACTTCTGGGTGTTCTAATCAAGTGCTAGTTATATAATTGTCAGTGTGGCCTAACTAAGGGACTGTGCTGCACTTAATACTAGTATCCATGTTGGTATAGTAATGCCATTTAAAAACAAACAGAAAACAAATCCCATGGATCTACCTGCAGTAGGAAGGGTAGATCTTCCATTGTATTGTAATGTGCAGGGCAAGATGACTGCAGGTTCAGTCAAGCTGTACTATTAGGTGCATGTACTCTATTTTCACAAACTTATACCTGTCTGTTTAGAATACAGGTCTTCCAAGCAGCTGGTAGTTTACCAGGTGTGGACTTAAGTTGCTGGGCTTGCAATAGGAATTGTCAGCCCTCATAGTGCGGGTCTTTGTGGAGCTTTAATCAGTGAATGCCTCCACATTCTGTATTACAGTAACATTGGCTCATGTATATTACTTCCTGCTGCTGATGTATTTTTCCATTGTAAAACGAAGTTTTAGTGTGGATTAACCAGGTCTTTATTTTCTGTTAATTTAATAACAAGCATTACTGTAGTGTGATTGTGTATAGATATCCCTTAGCTATCAGGTTTTTTACTTCGGGGGGTGGGGGGAAGCAACCAGTTCAGGAATATCCTGTACTCTGTGTGCAGGAGAGCAGATGACTCGTGCTGCTCTGGCATTAATCCCAGGAACCACTAGCAGTAGCGGGGCACCGCCAGCCTAACATGAACACAGGTGCTTCATGACAAACCTTACTAGCATGTTCAGTTGCATCATGTTCTGGCACTGTATTTTGAATGACATTAATTTATTAAAAAAGACTGAATCCAACTGAGTTTGGGTGTGCTTTCTGCTTGAAGTTGACACGGTTATGCCCTCTCCCTCACCCTCAGACAGTATCTCTTAATTTATTGAAAGCTATTTGAAATAGTTAAGCTATGGAAAACTTGGAGCCATCACTATTGACCTGCATACCTAACTTCCAGCACAGTCAACCTGAGCGTTACATAGAACTTGAAACTCCCACTAAGACTTCTGTAAAATGACACATCTCCAGGCATGGTGTTTTGTGGAACGTAAGGATTTACAGGACAAGTAATGATGGCTAGTGAAGAGGCAAAGTACTAATTTAATTTTAAGGAAGGTGACAAATAACATGTTGGCATTTACCCCTTCGTCAACTCTTCTGCTGCCTGCATTGCTTAGGTAAGAAGGGAGGAGTGACTTGTGCTCCTGCTGATAGCGTGTTACTGTATCCTGGAGCACCAGTTACAAGTTGGTCCAATGGTGTGCAAATTAGAAGAACAGTGTTGCTGTTTTGTAATGTTTGGAGAACCACAGACCTATGACAAAAACAGTAGTGGTATCTTGCTCACTGCAGCCTGCCTGGACTAAGTTCTGTGGATCGTTCTCACAGTAGCCTGTGTCATCCAGGGCTACTGGAGCAGCCTTAGGCTCAGGACATGCTTTAATTTCAAGTGTAGATGATCTGCAGCTAGGGAAGGAGCACAGCAGGTGTGTTCGGTTAAATGGGAACTTTCAATTCAAGTTTAAGATCTCCTGCATGATTTCTTACCCTAAAAAAGTGCAGTAGGTTCAAACAGTGCACTGAATTGCACTTAGTGCTTCACAGGACCAGCTAAAAACATCTTTTGAAATGCAGAAGGACTACACGGCTTCCTGTTAGCCTGCATTTTATACTCCTTAGAACAGTTTGGTGTAAGCCTGTGCAGTACCTTATTTAAAATTAGTTTTCATAATGCAGTACTTAAGGACAAGACCAGTCAGGTGTCAAACGGTTCTCTCGTGACTTGGTCGGACATGCTTGCTATCAGCTCACTTATACCACTAGTTGCTGCAGTCAGTATTTGACCCCAGACAAAAACAGCTGGCAAATACGAGTCTCTAGTCTGAATTGTTCCTTTTCATTATTTGAGGAGGAAACTCTGCAGGCAAAGCCTTGTCATGTGTCTGGAAATGATCGCCAGTGGTAGAATTAGACTGCAGTGGGAACAAAGACAGCAGCTGAAAAAATGCAGTTCTTATTTTATAAATAGAGCAATGATGATTAAAGCCTTCAAAGAGTTCTAAAACAGTATCTCACTACAAAGCTTCCGCCTAATGCTAGCCTATTCAACCTCTACTTGACTACAAAGTACATTTACATACAAGTTCTAATGACTCCTTATGTCCTCAAGCTTTCCTCTACTTGGAAGTTCGCTTTTTTTTCCTGATAGAAATACCTTTAAATCCTATGTAATTTCAATTCCCTGTACCTGAAAAAATAAAAGAACGCTCTACCAACATTTTTAGTGCATCCACTTATTTTTACAGTTGTTTAACTGCATGCCTAATTGAAAGCTTAGTTTTTGTTCTAAGGGGAATAGTCAAAATTAGGGCAGCCAATTGTGTCAAACCGTACAGAGAACAGAAGAGGGGTAAGTTAACTTTCATGAACAATTACTGGTAATTTTTTTTTAAAGCAACTCTAAAACTCTACCTGGTACTTCACACATCGTTTCTCCTTTCACCGCTCCATACTTGTTACCACATCACTTCTGCAGCATTGATCAAGAACTTGTAAAGCAAGGCAGAGCTTGCAACCTGGAGGAAAACAGGAGCAGCCTGAATGAAATCCAGGAAGCAGTTCACAGAAAATCTATACATCTTCACACACCTCCAAGTTCAGGTATGGAAGAGGCTGACAAAGCCAGGAACTTTGACATGGAAGCAGAGAGGAAGTTTTTCCACACAGCCTGGTCTGGTGGTTGGCAACCCTGCACACAGCAGGGGGTTGAAACTCGTTGTGGTCTTTTGCAACCCAGGCCATTCTATGATCCTATGATAAAAATGGGGTGGGCACAAGGATAACGAATCTGTCTGTAATGAATTACTGTCAGTAATGAGGGTATCTGTGTGCACTTTTCTCCCCTCCTGCCTGTGTGTTAACACAAAAGTAAGCTCCTGTGGTTTGGCTGGAGTTGTGAAAGTAGACACCTTCACATCAGCAAAGAGTTTGAGCGCTGCAGATCCTGCTCACCCAAAGCCTTAAGTGGTAAACAGCATACTGAATACATAGAGGCATTAACAGTAGTGAAGATCCAGAAAGCAGTACAATAAAAAGCATTAAAAAGCTTATGATGGCATGTAGATGTAAATTCTGACAAAATGCAGGAGGTGTACAATTTAAGCAGACAGTGTCTTCAGTTCTTGGGCATGATGGCATGAAGTTCAAAATGCATAAACCTGCAAGAGCAGCAAAGCCTTAACACAGATTGTGCTAGGCAGTACATTCAGCTTAGCAAAGGGATGGAAATCAATTTCTCCCTGCAGAAAAAATGGCACCCACTGACACTCACCAACACTTGCTGTACATTTTTGAAGACCAAACAGTGGATGTGTGCAGGTTTTTATGAGTGCAGTATGCAAGATCTTCCTTGTTCATCACTGGCAAAAACTCATAGCTAATGGTGGTCACTACATTAAAAAATAGTCCTCCTAGCTGAGAATCTGCTCAACCAAATGGTGTAATTGTGTTGGAGCTTCCGTGGAAATAAATAGGAGGCACTACTTTCAGAGTGACCAGTGTAGTAAATCAAGGCTACGAAGTAACAAAAATTGTACTTTCTATCAAATGCCTACAGTTAGACCATTCGGAATCCCAGCAGCAATCAAGAGATCAACAAAACAGCTAGACTTGCACTGCTGCAGCCAAGATGAAGCTCTCTCTGTGTCACGTTATACACATGAATCACATCACTTTATTGGGAGTAAGATAATCATACTAAATCCACCACCGCACTGGCACTAATAGAAGTGACCCATCTCCCAGTCTGAGAGTCCTACTGGTACTTGTAGTGTTTGATAAAGAACAGGGTCAAGAACAGAAACATCACAGAACTAAAGCTCTATGCCTACTTTTATTTATTTTTTTTTTTTAAGCTCTCTCTCTTCTACTATAATAATTAAGGACTAAAAACAGCACAAAGGAATTCCTTCTGTCTTTCATCCTATTACATAACAATGTCATATTTCTGCTTTTTACGAATTCTCTCCATGTTACTCTTCTTGTTAAAAAGCTAAATGAAGTACAATCGTGCTGCAAAAAGATGATGTGAATTTATTTTTTAGTACGGTTGAACAACTACTTGCATATGGAAATTTATAAAAATAAAATAAAATTCAACAGTTTTTCCAACAGAAACTTTATCTAATCCACATCTGAATGTTATTCAGATTCAGTTAGTTTCTTCCAACTGGAAGCAGCAACTTGCCAAGTCATTCTTACCTTGGTGCAGCGACTGCAGAAGTTTTAAAATCAATCTTTAAAGAATAGGCTGCTATTGTAAAGAGAGAAACGTGCAGCAATTATTTGCTCTGCGTCATGACTAGATTGCATCACCCCAATGAGCCATGCACCATTTTGAAGCTAAATCCAATTGAGAATATTACAGCCCTACCTGAAGTTCTGACTGATGCACAAGATGCCTGTGACCTACTGGAGACTTTAAATAAATTCACAATGAACAGTACCCCGTGGGGAATAAAGCATGGTACCAGGCAGTCCCCTTGTCCTACATTTGCAAAAGCAGTAGCCACAATCAGTTTAAATAGAAGACAAGTCTCAAATGGATCAACAGTGCATTAAAGCAGCTATTGATATCAAAAAATTGGTGTGTTCTGGTGGGATTGCCTCCTCAAAGCACAGCTTTTCGAGCAGACACAGTTTTAAATAGGCTGGATGTATTTATTTTCAAGCAGCACGAGAAAAACAAATCCATTGCTTCTATTTTTCAATGATCACGTAATAGTTTCTATGGTTAAAATCTGCATTCACACCTTCACTTTTACAATTAAATACTGCCACGTTAGTTTCGCTGCTTAGCAATAATTTCTATGGAAATAAGAAGCTTGTTTAGACAAGATACTAAATTTCATTACAAAGGTGCTTAAAACAGATGTACAAACAAATGCAATGGACTAGAAGAGTGATCTGAAAATGATAATTAATTGTCACATTTGAAGAAAGTGCTGCCAGATGTGCTCAAGAATTAAGGTTATGACATGAAAATGATGAAAAACAGTGAATATTTTAGCCAAATGAAATATTAGGTCAACAATACTTAGTCCAGTGGATCTGGAGGGATTTGTGTCTATTTATACTCAGTAGACAGTTCCCCAAATACTGCTAACCTACAAGTGGCAGAGGTTGATGCCTTTGATGTCAGAAAGTTGAGGGAAGTGTTACACTTTATTATCTGGAGGTGAGTTCATCCTGTACATTAACAATCAGAAATACTTTTGCAATGTACACTGACTGAGCTGTAACAATACCTTCACAGTTGAACTGGTGATAGCACTTCTGATGAGAGTCATTTAGTACTCTCTATTTCTTGCCATGCAGAAACAGATTTCAGGTCTTTGAAATAGAAGTTGACTGCATAAATCCTTCTGAATAAGTAATAATGCTTGCACTGGAAGTTTTAAAACAGAGGGGAAGAAAACAGCTTGCATTCACTCTGGATTTATGTAAGGAGATCACAAGCATTAAATTAAGAAGAGGACTACATCATGATGAAAGTCAGTGGCTGCTATCCCTCCTACAGACCAGAAGTACGTTTAAACAAGTGTCAGAGGAGTAAACACACATATTAACGAAGACAACTTATTACAAAGATCACTTCTCCACCCACTGCTGAGTTTAAATCACCATTCAACTTGCTAGCAGGAAGCTTATTCTTAAGAACACTGAAGACAAATACAAGTTTCTTAATCCAACCTTGTGTTGAGAAACAAGAAAGGAAAATACTCTTAACCTGGTGGTATTTCTGGCTGTCTCTGCTGTGGAGCCAAAATGGTGGGGAAAAAGATCACAAAAGCAAGTGATTATTTTCTCACCTGCATGCTGAATCAGAAAGCTCTACAATCATCACCAATAACTGCACCTTTACTCTTATTTCACTTACAGGTATTTCATAATCTTTAAAAAGATATGAATGTCTATTACAGAGTGGTGGAGTAGGACATGAAAGAGCATCAGAAGGTTTAGAAGATAGACACATACATATAGAGCCCAGGAGCAATAAAGTTCTGTAGATGTATTTCACTTGTATGTCAGAAGCAGCAGGTTTAGAAGAGCTTTAGGGGCATTTTTTGCCCTTCTCCAATGAAGCTACTCAAGCCAGCTGTACACTTTCAGGTTTTCTGTGGCTGTCCTACATATCTGGTTTAATAAACCCCTTAAAACAGATCTTCTGTTTTTGAATTGCTAACTGAACCAATAACACTGAAAATGCCACTGATGGACAGTAACTATGAGATGCAGCTGTGCCTTTTCTACTAGCTTTTGAAATGCACCAGAAGGAATTAGAACTTGTTAAATTACATTAGAACCGTCTTATTTATCTCTTGTACAGCTATTTTATTTGAGGAACGTAAGAAATAACCACAACTTGAAACCTTGGCCCCCAGAAAAAAGCACGGCAGAACACAAAGATACTGATAAGGGGATAAACTAAGAGTGTTCCAATACAGAGAAGTTGGAATATCTGATAATGCAACACAGAACACGTTACTGTGTGGGGATGTTAGAAGAAATAGGCACATACATTGCAGCTAACAGTAAATAATCTGTTTCAGGAGCATGAAACACACAACGTGGAACATGTTTACGTACAGAAGCCACCACCTGCACTTTCCATACGAAGTACAGCATCATGTCACATCTCTTCACACAAACTATTATATTCCTTCATGCAACGATAAGAACTGAACTGTTTCGGTTGCTCCCTCAATTCTGGTGTTACCTTCCTTATGAAAAAAGTAGTTATCCAATAGAACGTTCCCTGAGTAGACAAAGAAAAATCTGTAGAGCCAATCTTCATTTGGAAGAGTCTTCATAACTTCACTGGCAAAAAAAAATACGCAGTCTGCTACTGTGCTAGCTTAGGTAATTTTAATACTTAGTATTCATATACATAATAATTACATTGATGGTGTAATTATATCCTAACAGAGCAAGACCTCAGAAAACTGTCTATGATTCAATCCTAATTTTGGAGTATTGTTTTGTAATACTTCTCATGAAGAGATCTCTCCAACTGGAATCCTGTTCATGTCCTGGGGTAAAACACTGCCAAAACATTCCCTGTTACAAAGGCCTACTGTGTAATACCAAGAAAAGAGTGATTTTGCAATTGTTACACAGACTTGCAGACACAAAGAGAGCTAGAGAGATTAATGCAAAAGACTGTGCATGGCTATAGATGAGAAAGGAGAAACACTCAATGTCAGCCACAGTCTTATTCTGCACCCTGCTGATTTTAGTCTGCAGGTGGAACCAGCAAAGTGCTACCTGCCTTTGAGCTGTTGTTGGGCTTCCACCCCTATCACTGTTGCTGACATGCTCTCTAACCCAACCTGAAAGATGAATCAGTAGTCACACTCTGCTTATTTCTAAGAAGATTCACAACTGTTTGGCTACTTGGATCGAAAAATATAACTACTTTACATAAATATCTTCAACATCCAAGAAAATGTACAAATCTAAAGTCAAACATGTTTGGCTTGCAGCAAGCCTTGTTTGCTAATGTCTTTATAAAGGCTCAGATTTGAAGTAGTCATTTTAAACACAACCTATATACAGCAAATGCCATCTCATCGTATGGAGGCACTCACCATTCTATACTTCTAGTGAAACTGAATAACATTCCACATCTTGAAAGCAACATATGCCTTGTTTTGGTCCTGGATAGGTAGTATTCACTCCTACTTTTTGGAGCAGTCCTTTTACAGCTCAGAGAAACCATTGCACCTGAAATATTCAGCAGCACTGGGCAAAGCCATCACTTAGTCCCCAAGGCTTTGGCTTGACTGTGTAAAAGTGGAAAACCATGATGACATGGCTGATTTTGCACTTGTGAAGGCTCCTCCAACCGACTGACCTGCATTATAAAACAAAAAAATAACAGTGTAATTTTACCTTTACTAAGCTTATTAAAAAGTACTACCAGTAAAAAAAAATAAAATAAAATAAAAAAATTCAAATCATTTGCTACCCAATTTGGAATTTCAAGAATTCAAAGCTCAAGCTTGAAGAACGTGTCAGAAAACATTCAAAGAACTTGAATGCAGAAGCTCAGTGGAAATGGACCACGGTGTCCCTCATTGGAAGGCTGGCCAGATCTACTGCTGAAAAGAGTTCCTTGCCAGAGTACACAGTAGCAAAAAAAAAAAAAAAAAAAAAGCAGCAAGACTCTTACAGAATGAAAAAACAAGCTGAACAATTTTTGTCAAAGCAACCACAGAACAACTGCAGGACTTTTCAACTGGTGATCTTCCATTTTCTTGCACTGGAAAATGATAATGTGAGCAAGGTGCTCCTGTTTAAGTTCACTGTTATGCAACACACAGGGCCTCAATCAGCAACTTTACCACTCCAAATGTTGCTCTGTTTTGCATGAATGTTATAAAGTACTCTTGGATTAAAATAAAATGTAACTAAGATACAAGATGCTGCCTTAATAGAAGGTACTGCTTAGATCCAAACCAATTTAAAATAAATTTCTTACCTACAGCTTTTCCTGTTTGCACAACATTTCGGCTGGTAGACACCATCACATTTCCAATCTTCTTCCCACGTTCACTGTTTTGCACAGAACTAAACAGGAGAGAGACTGACGACTGTTAGTCAACTGACCTATGAACTCCAGGTGAAAATAAAATAGTTATTTTGAATATCTATCCATACACAGATCTACACAGTGTGTGCAAATAAATAAATCAAGCCCATAATTCTTGTATGGGTTTTATGCATCTTATCTGCTAAGAATCGGTTTGGCAAGATTGTCTGAGGACAAAGAGATACTGCCAGCATCAGGAACCAAAATATCCAGCTGTTCGTGCTTACAGAACATGCTAATGTATTTCCTACATTTTACCAAAATACTTTCACAGAATCAGATCTGCAAAGGTTTTGGAAAGTTTCAGCCACACCTTGAAGCTTTAAACAAAACAGTGTTACTCGACAGTCGTTATTCTTTTTTCCAAATAGAGTTTACTTTGTATCTTGCTCTAACATAGAATTTTTTATCAAGTATATTTCATATATATAGTATATCAAGTATAATTCATATTTCTGTTAAAAATGTAAAAGAATAAAAGACACTTCCTTAATTTGAAAAGGATAAACTCAAAAGCAAATCAATTCCACTGCATGAGTGTGATGACTTGAAAGTAAAACTTACTCAGTTTAAACAGCAACATTCAAGTCCACACTTCAGTCTTGTAAACCCATTTATGTAAAGCTTAACAACTTCACCACATGTGATTTTTTGCAGGAGAACTCTGAACGCAGTTTTGCATACATGGCCAACTTAAACCATTATTTTGCTGAGGCCATTACTGCAACAGCTGTGCTGTTATTGATATTTGCCTATACATTTTTAAAAATACATATCAAACTACTATCTACTTACTGCGACAATCTTAACTTAACGTCTGACACAGAGTATTGTCCCTGAAATGGATGGCTAGAAGAGGAGGAAAAACCCAAGAAAACATTAAGTATTTCTCTATCATAAATCCATACTACAGCAACTTCAACTCCTAGTTATGTTTGTCCCTGTGGCTTATAAGAAATAATCAATCCATTATAGACAGGGTACTGTACCACTTTACAGAAGGGTAGGTAGAACTCATAGTTCAGTCTTGGGTTTCTTACAGTCTATGTGTAAGGTGCCTCCTATTTCCACACCAGGTATTAATAACCTTCTTTTCACACTAAGGCAGACACTTCTTCCAATTAAGACAAAGAATGCGAAAAGGAAAAGAATCCCTTAGGCAGACCAAAAAAAGCCTTGCAGTCTACAGAAAAACAATTTTCTTCAGCCTACATCAGCTGGCAAAGCAAGAATGAAAGCTGACAAAACTCCCTGCAGTACAATATAAATGCATGCTTAACAAAACACATGCAGAGCCTACAGTGTTATCAAGTCTGGCATCATCTAATCTTGGAGTGGAAATACACACAAAACAACCAAAATAACAGAACATGCAATATAAATTAGCCAGCTTCCCTCCATCCCTATCAGTCACAACCCGGTGCATTCCCTTGTAAACCTGGAAGTAACTAATGAAAAGCAGAATCATCTGAGGACAGTGACAAATTCTCTATAGCTGGGGATAGCCAGCAATTAATGTTAATAAGTTTCACTTCTCCCGACTCTGGATATAGTTTTCTTCATACAATTATACCCCAGAATTAGAGTAAGGCACTGAAAAGTAGAAATATTCTATTTCTGTACTCACAGAATCTTTATTGCACAGGGTCACAAAGCCCTCAGGGCTCTGTAACAGGAACAAGCAGGACACTGATTCTATGGAACACTGTGTGCCTACCTACTCATAATAGGAGCATTTCATATGAAATGCTAAAAAAATCCCCACAGTTTCTCACCTGGAATGTACTTCTGCAAGAGCTGGATGCTTGTTGCTATTCCATACTCTGTAGTTGTGAGTATTTTTCCAGGCTGCTACAAAGGCTGTTCCAAAGTCTGACAAAGTCTTGTCATTGTCTGAGAAATTAGAATAAAGATGTTAACTTGTAGCAATTCATTATGGATGCAATACAAGAAAAACTGTATTTTTACAGAAAAGCTAAGATTTTCCAGACTCTCATCCAATCATACGTAAGTCAAACTTAGCTCTGCAAAATGGCACTTCAAAATGTTTAAATTACTTTTTTTTAATTATTATTATGATTAAGTCTCTCAAAGCCATGACAAAACAAGAACTCAAAAAAAAAAAAAAAAGTTCAATCTTTTTCTCCCTTTAATTAATTTCCAAAGTTCTCAGTGAGCTCACTTGGAGAGGAGAAAAAGAAAAGATCCCCCCACATAGGAACTGACCTGCATTAGCTTTGATCAGATAGAATACAGTTTGCTGTACTGTGTTAACACTCATCCCAATTGAGTAAATTTCAAATTCACTCCAAAACAGCAATGCAAGCTACTGTGGAATAAACTTATCACAACATCTCCTCCATCCCCTTTAAAATACAGATTATGGGAAATCACTTTAGAGCCAGACAGTTAAGTAGTAGAATTTCAGGAAAATTCCAACATTTATTATCAACCACATGATCATCTTACAACACTGACATTGCCAGACAAAGAACTTGGCATCTTCCAAACTTTAAATTGAAGTTCTCAACCCCATGGTTTCTTAGAAATACCACAGAACAGGAACTGAGTTACTGAATTGGGGTTAAGGGAGAACAATCATGAAGAGAATGAAGTTAACAGACTTAGTGCTAGGCAAGCTTCCACAAATAAGCCACTGATTATTTTAGTTACGTTCATGCATGAAAGGCTAGAACATAGGGAATCCTCTCTGAGTTGAGACAAAGATGTTGAGCTCCAGAGAACAAAAGCTGATAAAACCTCAAGCTGACATTTTCAGCTTAAGTGAATCCCTACTCAAGACCACAGCAGCAGCAGGAAAGAGATGGGACAGACCAGTAAAACTTCCTGAAAACTGCTACTTAACTTCATGCCTCCTTGAATCCAATTAGTTCCCCCAAGCTGACTGAAGTCTGTAGGATATCCAAGTTTGGAAAAAGTCTTAGCCTACACATAGCAGGGGGGTTGAAACTCCATCATCATTGTGGTCCTTTTCAACCAGGCCATTCTATGATTCTATGATTCTACTTCTAAGGAAAGCTTAATTAAAATCAATAAGGAGATAGTCAAAGAAAAAGTAGGTCTGTAAGGCTGTGAAGAATTAGTAATAATCTTGTCAAGGAATAGCAAAGGGAGTCAAGGACAACTGAAAAAAACAGCCTAAAAGAGGGATGGTCAGTGACAGGCTACACGTGTAACAAAAGAGGGCAAATACTTTTTAAACCCACCCTCATCTCAGGCCCTGGACAAGGCATTTGTTCTACCTGGTTGCAGCACAGAAGCAAGCAGTGCATGAAGATAAGCACTGAACTGAGCCCTGATCCACTCATCTCCTCCTTCCCATCCAGTGCCATCAAGGAAAACATCATCTCTGTTCTCAGTTACGTGCTTCACCAAGTAATCTGCAAATCTTAGGTCAGCTGTTGTAGGGTTCAGGATCTTACGAAGTTCTGGATCGTGGATTTGTACATGAGCATCTTCTATCTGTTTGAAATAATTCCAAGGGTAAAAATTTAACTAAATAAAACTGCTTACACGCACAGTATACTGAAAACCTACCTACATCTAAACTCAGCAGTTTCAACAAATATAGAAGAGAAACAAATGACCAATGAAATTCTGAATGAACAGTTGTCAGATACTGCTTTAATTTAACCTGAAACTGATAATCTTCCTGGTATATAGCAAAGCCTGCTCATTTGACAAGATTTAGAAGAGGAAGTTTGGTGCTCACATGTGTTTTCTTAGAGGCTCACTGATTTTCATTTCAATTTATTAAGTTGATTACCTACCAACACATAGCTATCTCAGGATATCAAATTTTGATTATACAGTTGTATTCACTTACTAGAACACAGTGCTTTCTTGGATATTGTTTGCCCTGTTGATTAAATCAAGCCAAAGTCAACATTAATATGCTGTATTCTCAACTGTTCCTTAACTGCGGGCACTGATTTTTGAATACCTTACTACAAAGCCATGAGAAGAAACCACAACATGAGAAGTAGAACTTCACTAGTGACAAAATAAATTAAAAAAATAATAATAATAACCTGCAAATTCAAATACAATATCTAACATCAAGACAGACACGTGACTTTCGCAAGATAAAGTTATGTCCCAATGGAATAAGCTTCAGAATTTAAGAATTTATTTCACAGAGAAGTAATTCAAAATTTGGGCATGAAATTCTACACTCAAAACACAACTTTTTTTCCCCCTCCTTCTTCAGTTCAAGAAGCACAAATACAAAGAGCCATACTTCCACAATTGCATCGCTCAGATGTTTCTGCTGGCGGAACAGGATATTGGTGGCTCCCGCAACAAAGCCGCGGACTGTCACATCCGACAGAAGGTGATGTTGCTGCAGTGCCATGTATGGCAAGCAGAGGTATCCCTAAAGCAACAGAGATATTTAGAGGATTAATACAAAGATAAAAGACAAACCTTTTTTTGTTTTTTCTGTCCATATTCGGATTTTTTTCCCCTAATTAATAAAAGCCATCACACTGAACCCAGTACAGGCACCTCTGGCTGCTACAATTTCACTATGTTACATCTCCAAAGCAAAGCAACCAGATTCCACACTTGGTGAGTTTTCCAAGAGGTTGTACTGCCTTCAAGTCTCAGGACTGAAACTACAATACATTGCGAATAGAATGGAATCAAGTGTGTTTACAAGTGAACAAATTAAGTAATATAAATTGATGATGAGGTCTCAGGTTAGCTAAGAGATGGGAACTCAGTGGAGACAGAGATTCATCTCTCTGCTTGCATACCATGATGTCTTTCTATGTGCCTCAAGCCTACAGTGTCAGAGAATTAGAAACATACAGAACTGCTATCTGCATCTGGAGGATGGAAATTTCCCAGGTGCAGACAGCAGTCAGTTTTTGATGGGCACATGCATGCCTGCTTTAAAAGAACAGGATAGAAAGCAATGCACCATCTCTTCAACTACTCCATGCTTATGTAAATCTCGTATTCCACACTCCAATTTAATATATATAAAAAAAACAACCCAAAACACATTATTCAGAGTTATTCAGAGATCTCTGTGAAGCAGCTGTAGTTATTTAAAAGGAGAATTATAATACAGGAGGAGCAAAACCATGAAGTCGAGCACTCAGGTTTAATTCCAGCTGTTCAGCTGCAGATGGCATAGAGTTATTCACTAGTTGTAACTCAGAAGAGCTATCAGCATACTGGACAGAATTAAAAAGCAGGTGTACTTCATCACACAGTAACTGGAAACATACAGAAGAAAGGAGCACAGCTACTCCCTTTTGTTATATTGGATGCAAGGATGGCTTTCCAGATGACAAGCACTGAAAGCAAATGGTGTGTTGAAAGAACAACAGTGTTTTGAGATGCAATCACCAACCTAAAACATTTTAGAAAATACAGCTTAATAAGCAAGCAAAGGAAGGCAGTGCTTTTCAATCATTCACTATTTAAAAGATCAAGTGTCAGTTCCCAGATTCACCTTCCTGTATAACAATGTTTATTTCAGTGAATGTGTTCAAACAAAAAAACAACAGTGAAAGTTAAATAGGTTTTAGACCTTACAGAACTGCTACTGAAGAAACAAGTACCACAACCTCTGTTTCTCTGTGCTGCGGTGCACTTGGATCCATTATTGCACCATCTCACACAATTTCTGCCTTTTCACATTTGTCAGATTTGTTAGTCTTTCCATTGCACGGCACAAACGTGTTCAGAGAGCTCTAAAAGATTCCAACTTCCAGTAAGCAGTTAAACTATAACTTATGATCAGATTTTTCTGGTAGGTTTGAGATGTAGAGCCATTTTTGTTTTAATTACATCAGATGAACTCAGATGAAAAGAGCCTACGTGGAACAGAAGGTAAATGTACAAAATGCCAGCTTCCTTAAAATTGTTTGCTTTTCCATTTTATGAGCTTACTAGCAAACTAAGTTTGCACCCATAGGACCTCTTATCAATCACTTGCTTCTTACTTTCAATCTAGTATTTTCAATAGAACTAAAACTAATGCAAATTACAGGCTATTCTGTTGCTTAGATAAGAGAGTGAAGACAAACACCAGACTGTAGTTCTGTGCTGAAAATCCTTCTCTAACAGTGACTTGAGGCAATATAGGGAAAATAACATTTGAGTTGCTCACTTTGGTTTCTGTTTGTGCTGTTACCAATGAAAGGTATTCCAAGAAGCTCAAGTACCATTATTAAACAAAACATTCTGCAAGAAAATGCAAATAAACATCTCCAAAGGAAGAAATGCCTCTGTAACCTCATCAGCTTGAAGAGATACATCTCAATCATCTGCTTCGACAGCATATTAAAAAGAAAACAAAAAGATAAACCATCTCTCTTACTAACAAAGCTATCCTTAAAAGGGAGGCATTTTTTTCCATTTTAGACAGAAAACCAGTCCCAGTAGATGAACTGCTTGTTAACTAACAATGCCCATCAGGGCCCCTAAAGAAACTCTGGAATACCTGGAGTTCAGTTTGGCATTTTTTAGTGAAAGCTTGAAGCTCAGCAGTTCAGCACTATGCACATGGAAGAGCCATACACAACCAGGAATAGTTATCATACAAGGAAGTGTGAAAAAATATACACACAAAAAAAGGAAAACACGCTCAGGTGACGGATAAGATACAGCTTTCATAATTAGTTTGGCTTAACATATCTAAACACTTCTTAAGTACTCTGATCTCAACCCATACAGATTAGATCAACAATTCTTCAGAGTAAAAGAAAACAGTAGTTACTGATACATACCATTCATTAACCATGCTGGGTCGAGAGGTTACGATCTTGTAGAATTGCAAATAGTACTAAGTATATGTATGAAAAAGAAGTGGAATGCACCTGCACACATCCCTTAGACACACACAGGCACTCTTTCCAGCTGCGTATGAACATGCAGTCACTTGTCAGAGACTATGCCTCCACGTTTTGTAGCACCCTACTGTACATTTGGAATTCAGTAACCATAAATTACAACTCTGACAAAGAGAAGTCCTTATGAGTTACCAGATATCATGAACAACTTATTTACCTTTGTAAAAATAGCCAACGGCATACCATACTGGTCCTCTTCCAACCCAGATATGAGTCCTGGAACAAGCACCATGTGTCCTGTGTTTGCCTGGGGCTGCACAGTGATTGGAAGACTTTCAGAGCTCGGGCATTCACTTGGACGATTTTCCACCTGTTCTGATGTTGCTTTTTCACATTCTCCTTTCATACCAGATTCCTCTAAAATGCTAGGATCTAAGGTCTCCCAGTCACTTTCAGAGGATTCTGGAGATGTGCGGGAAGGAACTTCCAAATGTTGCACAGTACCATTGGAGGACTGAGCTCCATTATAAGTCTTATCTGACTGGGAGAAACGCATGTTCGCTTTTTGACCTTCCATTGAATGGTTTCCTGCCATCTTCCTGCCTCCCTTCTCTGTTCCCAAGTTTGTGTTTGAAATATCACCAGCAGACACAGAAGTTGAGTTATCTAACCACGGTGTAGTTTCTTGCAAGCCAGCATCCTCTGATATGCTTTTTCTGGGTCTATAGTGTGAGCTGTCAGTAAGACCGTGCTCAATCATACCTGCAAAGTGACATCACACATTCAAGTGAGCATCTCAATATGATTCCAAATGACTTCTGTTAAAGACAATGAAGAAAGTGCCACTGTGTGCATACTGGAAATCACGTATTTTACACTACTTTGGGAAAAGAGAAAAAACAAACAAACAAAAACTACACCAAACAAAAAAAAACCCTCTTTTCAGAAAAGAGGCCTACCTCAACTTTTTGTTTTGGGAAGACTGGTTGTAAGTTAAGAATTAGTAAGGTTATGTATGGGTTTGTCTGTTTTGTTTTCAGAAGTTCAGCAGAAAGAATTTCTGATTTTGAAGGAACTTGGCTAATTCAGAGTCACATTTATGTTACCCACAGTTAATAAAGAAGATCCAGTGGCTTCAATTACACACAAGTAGTAATTCAGACAGTGCAAACAATGTTAGGAGGTATCTCCACACTACATGCATACGTCTACAAGTTATCCTGTTTTTCAGGCAACGTGTCAACATAATTCTGTTTTCATATAATTTGTTCCCCATATAAGGTGGGGAATATACATACAGCCATACTGTAACAACTGAGAAGTTCAAGGTTCTCTTCTTACCAGGAAATAATGACAGGACAGTCATCAGAGCTCCCACCAATCTATTTACTGGAGAAATGTAAAACAGCACCTGGTAGCAGGAGAGGAGGGGAAAAAATAAAAAAGTAAAAGAACAAAAAAAGGGCAAGAGAGCAGTGGGGAAGTAGACAGAAGAGAATTTAAAAAAATAAATAAATCAAAATTACAGTTGAGGACAACATAGAACACCAACTGTTAAAGGAATTTATTTTAAAAAAAGGAATTCTGCTTACCCAGAAAAGCTCTTACTAAAGCTTATATTAACTATTTGAATATGCATATTGTATACTTGTACTTTATAGTATTTATAATATATACATTATATGTATGTGCTTGTGGGCATAACATACAGTCAGATTTTTCTGCTGCAGTCAGCATGCTGACTGGATCAACTTCAGAAAAATTGATCAGGCAGGAATTGTTTCTGGCACTCTTAATTTGTAGTGCATTAAAGTTCTAGATCTAAATCTAAAGTTCTTGTAGATCAAAGAGGCCAGATAATCTCCATTCCAGAATTCTGGCAAAAACAAAAAAAGCTCTATGAAAATATATGGAAGGTACATGAAATCTAGGATAACTGCAGCACGCATTTATTACAGATACCTTCCTATGATAAAAACTGAGTTTACAGAAACAGAAAACAAGACTGATATTAACTTTAGTGAAAAGTACTTAAGAACATAACTTCCTAGTTTCTTTTCAGGTGCTGGTCAATATGAAAACCACAAAATGCAATAGCAAGAAACTACAGCAGGAATCCTACAATACCCTTCCAGTTTTCTGTTGTCATATGCCATGTACTTGTAGGAAAACTTGTTTTTAAGACTACAGAAATAACTAAAGCCTATAAAGAAGCCCTTTGTCTTCAGGAAATTTGCTTAAATTTATCTTCAGTTTGGGTGGACTGCCAACTTAAGCCTTTTAATACTTTTATGTATTTGTTCCAGCAAGTCCCTCTGCCATCTTTCCATCTGCATAGGTGCACGTTCCTTTACCCCTCCTACATTACATGACCTACAACATTTACATCAGCAAACTGGGTGGTCCTGGCAGCAGAAAGTTAAATGATCACCACATGCAAGAAATCTCCTAATCCAGCAACAGCTGTGAGGTGAAAAAAACAAACAGCAAAAACATTTCTAAAGCCTGTGGAAAGGTATCAACCAATTTGCCAGGAAAGCAGTTCATGGAAGGGAGGCATTTTTCAGCTCAAGGAAAATTGGCATTACTATAATGTGCAAAGCTTCTTGCACGTTATATTTAAGGTCTTTGAACATACATTTCCCCAGTTATTCTGGAACATTAACATCTGTCAGAAAATAGGCAGTGCCAGGAAACCAAAACTCTTGCTTTTGAAATAGCAAAAGTGTTGTCTGCCTGGTGGAGCTTAGGGGGAGCTTGGAAAAACTTCTCTCTTCTTCACTCTGTGCATTTATGATTTCTTTGAACTTCAGAAAATAACCCACTAGGAGCAGATATTCGGATCAGAAAATTGTAGCTCAGTGAAAGTTCTGAATTGTCATGATGAAATATGAACAACGTCAGCTTTTAAACAGATCAGTAGAGATACTTAAAATTTTTACTGAAAAAATGCATACTTTTTTATATATTACATATATATATATATAAATATATTAAACTGCATACATTATATATATTATATACGGCTTAAAAAAACCCATTGTAGACAAAGTGTACTGAAGGGATCTGAGGGAAAAAGCTTGCATTATTCCATCTTGATTACATACATATCTACATGTGCAATCCTACTATGTAATAATTATATTCTACTCAAGTACTTCTGTTTTAGAAGGTCATATTCACTGCCTTAGTAAGGATCCCTAGGCCACAGACCCAGCTATTTTGCTGTTTGTAGGCTGGATCCTACTGGCCTTCCAGTTGCAGTCAATGGGAAATTCTTATATTCCTTCTCTAAAGGAGCCAGGTTTCCTCACAGCAAAGAATATGACACTGGGGGAACTGAAAGTGTTCCTTTAATTCTGTTTAAACGTTAAGACAAAAAGTTCCTGCAAAGAAGCGTCTGGGAATTATAGATATTCATCATTGAAAGTTCTTCTGTTTATCTCTTGATACCCCAAGACAAGAAAACAACTGTCTTTTTAGCCCAAGGCAAACTCTAAGAGATTTCTGTTTGTTGGCTGGTTGTTTTAAAACAAATCTGCGTTCTCAATTCAGCATGACTTAACAGAAATGACTCTTTACATCGTCTCCTACGGCTGTCCAAACAATTCAGGTTTGTAAGACAATCCTTGCACAGGTTTCTTTGGGTATGTCTATTTAAAACAGAACAAAAAATTCTACTTCGTGAAAGCTGTAAAGCTGTATGTTCCATTTTAGGTCTCAACATTTCCTATCTATTTCTTTGCATAAGTACCTACTTGCATCCCATACATCTTTTCTTGTCTTCTATAAGATGTTAAGTTTCCCCACTCACATTTAATTGTGTTTTACTTCACAGCTACTGATCAAAGTGGAGAATGCATATAACAGCAGCAGAAACAAATTTATACAGCAACACACAGAAGTTACTTAGAGCATTCTTTCCTCATCTGCACATATATGTAAAACTGCTGATCATCAATCCAGATCATTTTAACTTTTCTTTCTTTAATTTTTCGCTGCTATGTTCTACATATTTTCATATTTAAAAAAAATAAGCTGTTTCTATTTCAAATATCTGCCCCCAGCCAACAAAATGATACCTTCTTCTCTAGAAGAATCAATTTAAAAAGGATCAAGACCTGAAAAACAAAGGAAAAACACAGTAAATGAGGCAGTGCCATTTATCAAAACTACCGTGCAAGTTTATCCTATTCAAAATTTCTCTGCATAACTGTCAAATGATCAACTCTGAACAACAAAAACCAACCAGTGTTTCAATACCTTTTCTCCACTAGAGCTCTCTTTGAAATGACATTTGAAACTCACACAAAAAAATTCATGATTGGTAATTCAGATCATACATAGCTTACGAAGAAGAAAGAACACATTGTATCATTCTAGAATTTTTTCTAAAAATTGCATAAACACAAAAGTTCTTTTTACAAAATTACAGAAATAAGTTGAGCCAAACAACTTATCCAGGAACAGCTTTCACCTTACCTAACGTTAGACATCTACAGACAAGACATCTAGATCAGAGCTAGCTGCCTAAACTCTTTAAACCCAAAGAAAGGAGACACTTCTGGGGCAATGACCAGCACACACGTGAAGTGAAACAAAAGGAAATTCTACCCCAAACGTGTATTAAGCATGCACAAGTACACCATTAAATGCAGAACCTCAAATTTCTTTCCTTGAAGCCTCTCGTTACAGACTTTCAATGCTATTTGTAACTTAGCTACAGGATACAAACTCAATTTCAACAGCCATCAAGAAAAACCAATGGGAGAAATTACTAGTTTCTTTGGTGGCAGGAGCTGCAAAAATTACATATTGGGAAAAATATCTCAACTGTCTGCAATGACTTTAGCAGTATTCTTCCATCACATTTATTTGACAAGGCACAGGAAATAGAAACAAGACCATAATTGAGATACCACTTTCTCTTTGGGCCAGGACTAAAGAATTGTAACACAAACCTAAAAATCCACAAGAAATCCAAAAGACAGACAAAAGTTCTCATTATGGAACTTACTTTTACAGAAGATCTGTAGGTGGAAATGAAAAATCAGGAGACTGTAACCAGAAATACTTCAGGAACAATCTCACTTCCAGCTCAGGTATGTCTAAACATTTGTCTTCCAGTTCTTCAAAAAGCATTTTACTCCTCAAAATAAGTGCTGTATTTTATAAGTCTAGCAGAAAAAACCTACCTTGTGTCTAAAGTGAAGAACAAGATCCCGAGGAGATAGACCTGAGACACCAAAGGAACAGCAATTACTCCACTTTATAGCTAGCAGAGATAGTAACATTAATTCCTACCAACTTTTGGTGGGGGAAGGGGGTATGCCTATTATGCATTCTATGTGAACCTTGGTTATTTCAGTAGCAGAACTCATAGTACCTTCTCTCCTTCGTGCAGGTGAAATAGTTAAATGACAGTGGAGACAATAATGTGATTAGTCACACTCTGAGTTACTCCTGTTGGCTGCAACAGCATTATGGAAACACTAAACTAAACCCCACATTGTGCTTTCAAAAAATACAAATAAGAGTCAGAAGAAAACAGGAGATTTCCCAAATAACAGACAAAAGATCTAGCATCCCATAACATCATCTTAAAATTAAGAAAGTACTGTTGACCAAAAACAGCTAAGCAGACATCTGTCAGACTGACAGGTCAAGATGTATGATGACTTTCAACCCACAGCTAACTTCTGTTACGAAAGCAACACTGCACTTATTTGACATTTATTTATATCCATGAAGAAAAGCGTAACAGAATGCTGTGCAGGCACGCTGACCTCTGTGCTTAATCTGTTAATGTACATAAGCAAATCAGCTAAGGAAGGAACATGTTGATTAGCATAACGTTATCCCTGCCACTTGTACAAAAAAGCCACTTACCAAGATAAACTTGTGACCCTTCTAACAAAGTCCCTCCTAAGGAGCTATTCATATGATCATAAAGTTCCTGTAGAAGTATAAACAAAAGCACACACAAAAAAAATAAAATAAGGTCATTAATGGTACATAGTCATACAATATCCAGTATTAAAAAAAAGTGTCTTACTGAAGGATTTCAATGCCTTACTCCAGAAAGAAAGTCATATTTTATTAAGAGTCAATGGAGATACAAGTTGAATATCATGCTCATTCTTCTATTGCAATACATATCAAATTTGTAATCTGTCATGAGGGTCATATAGGTTCTCTAAGTATTAGAAGAGCTGAATAGCTGAATGACCTATGAAAATGAAATACCTGAGCAAAACTACTAATTAAAAACACTGAAGTCTATAGCTATACACTGAAGGCTTTGTTCCATATAGTTTTTACTTTAAAAGTTACCTTTAGAATTGAAATTTGCGAGAAGTCTTTTTCTTCAAAATATGCATGAGTAATGAGCTGCAGCTTTGCCTGAAGTAACCCATACAAAGGCTTGAAAGAAAAACAAGTGAAAAAAAATCAGTCCAGTTGTTTTGAACATCAGCTTTCTCCCTTTCTAATCTTCCAATACAGTCACTTTATTACACACAGAGTTCACAGAAGGAAAGCGATAGACCTGAATTCTTAGTTGCTAACTTACAACATCTTTCACCTGTGCTCATTTTAAATTATTCTAATTATTTTGATTCCATTTGTATATACCATACCAACACCAGACATCTCTCCAAAAAAGTACTTTCCTGTTTAAAACACTGCTCATGCAGCTGTAAAGGCAGCTCTTCCTTCAGCCTTAAGCACAGAAAATTTCTACTCTCTGCCTGGGGAGTAGTAGCTTTTGCTAACTAACTAGTAAAGAAGTCCCCTCAAAGGAAGAATATACTATTTCTGTGATCATCTTAAAAGCTCTTTCATGGCTGATAATAGGCACTCCCTCAACAATAACACCTAAACTCCTATTACATATGAAGAATTAGTAGTGCTTAAGAATCAGCAACAACTTAAAAAATAACGTATTTAGAGCCAAAAGTTCTAGAAAAAAATATGGAAAACAAGTAATATTTAACACGTTATTTAGGATTGTTTTGAGATTTGAACATTCTTACCAGCTGACTGAGAACACAGACACTTTTCTGCACTGTTTCTCGGGTGATGTCTGCTTGTCGCACTTTCAATGCCTAAGAAATAGAAGTATAACAGCATATTTACCTAAACACACTCCCAAAAAAACTGTTGCACAGGTCAAGATGCCACATATTCCCTATTTAAACAAAATCCTAAGATTCCCTGCCTTCAGTGGCGGAATACCCAAATCACATCTAAGTACGTTTTTACCTATTAATCATAACACTGATTCTGCAGTTATGTTCTCAACTCACTAAGCACAGCATAAATCCAAATACAGCTGTAATGACAGGCAGAAGACTGTTTGAAAGACACTATTATGAGTAAATAGTCCTGGAGCAGCCTAGAAGCAGCCCTGGAAAAGGCAATGCAATGTACCTGGAGAGAAGCAGTCACAACAGATAGCTCTTCTCTAATATTATCTATGAAAATGAACTGGGCTATCAAGTCTTTACCTGGAAATAGTTTACTTTCTCAAGGATTTTCTCTAAGCCATCCATAAAATAAAGGAAGTATTATCTCCAGAAGGAACTCCATTCTCAGCCAGACCAAACGGCTAAGGTAATTAAGAGCAAAACTAAAAAGGATAAGGGCAGAAATGCAGTACCAATTCTCCTAACTGCATAAACAGTGTGTGGATTGCAGCCCACACATCAGAAAGCCAGATGGAGAGGATGCTCGAGTTGTTATATGAAACACACACTGTTTTGTATTCTACTTTCTCCAAAGAGTACAATTTAAACAACCATTTTAATTCGTTAGTGAACAGTATAAACTTGAAATGAAGACACAATAAAGCCATGTTAAAATAATTGTACAGTTAAATAGAGCAAGACTAATCACAGAATAAATGTGAGGACTGGCTGTAAAGATTGTGAGTATGCTAAAATCAATGTTAAGTTCAAAAGAAACAGAACTAAAACCTACACATGGAAAATTTCTCCTATAGCATAAATAGAAACATGAAATATAACTAAGGTGTGCTGAAGACAGGGTACAACATTTGCATCTTCTGAATACAGAACTAATTTAGCTCTCAAATCCACATGGCATTCCAGATTCTTGGCATGCCACTTGAAAAGAAATGATTGTTATTTATTTTTCAAGAAATCTGTAATAACATCTCAATCGTAGTTATGTAGACTACTGCCACTGCTACTTTTGAAAATTAAATGCACACTGTAGCTCTCACCAGTTTTTTCCAGCTTTATTGCTAAAAATTCAGTAACAGTAGGTGCCTACAATGAATGGCAGGATTCTGATTTACCATGCAAGCATTTTTTTGGCAAAGAAGATTTGCATGATACCAATAAATATTCTAAAATTCTTCAGTCACATGCTAGAGAAATTTAAACTGCTTCCATCCAAGAGACTTTCTTCCTGGCAACAGGACTTGGCAGCCTGAGTGACTGTCAGTTTTGCTATTTGGGACTAATGCCTGGGTTAGTTCTCAAAAACAAAAACATTTATCAATTGTCCAGGATGTTTAAAAAAAAAAAAAAAAAATCAAAATATGCTTGCTGACATAAAGGAAATAATAGTCCTCAAGTTCTGTAGCTACCTACTGTGTCCATTTTCATAGTTTTAAAAGTAAGCTGATCACGTAGTTTGAATGTTGGTGTATATAATACAAGCCACTGAATTTCAGAATTATTAGTGCCTATTATTATTAAGCCTATTACTTCAGTAATATCACTCATAGCTTAGAAAGTTACCTTTGCTTCAATCTGCCTATAGCAAGAGACCCCATATACTGTGGTTCGGTCCCCACATCTTGGTGGCAAATGGAAAAACACAGTATCTGTGAAAAAGAAAAGAATGTCCCATAAGTCACTAACAAGCTTAGCTTTCTTGTCACCATTACTTTCTTTATAAAAGAGTCTCTGCTGAAATACTGGTGCATATCTTTTCTGAGATGTTTGGGGAGGAAAAAAAAAATAGTTATCAATAAAGCTATTCTTGCACCCAAATTAGAGTTTCCAAATTGCATGGTACTTTGTGGAAGAAGCTTCAGCATTGCTTATGTGGATATTCTGATGGCAGCCTCACATTTACCCTAATCGAGCTCTTTTAGAAGCCCACTGACAGATGTTCAGAAGCAGCTGTTGACAGCACAGAAGCGCCATTGAAACCAACAGCCATACAACTTTTCCAATTCAGTATAAAAGAATAAAGACAAAGCATTGGAAATCAAGGCCCACAGAACTGGTGGGACAGAGCATACAGCAAGACTGCAATGCCATTAGGAAGTTAATTGCAATGAAGGCAGGAAAACAAACCAAAACCATGAGGATATACACAGCTGAAAGGTTAGATTTGCTGATACCCTTGCTAAGGCAGATACAAGGTACAGCACTACTATGCTAGCAAAAGCTGTTTATTCACACAGTTGTAGCATTCACAGAATCACAGGGGTTGAAAGGATCTCAAGAGATCACTGAGTCCACCCCTCCATAAAGCAGGGACCCTACAGTAGGTCACATAGGTAGACATCCAAACAGGTCTTGAATATCTCCACAGAAGGGGACTCCACAACCTCTCTGGGCAGTCCTGTCACCCTTACAGTAAAGAAGTTCTTCTGCATGTTTGTATGGAACTTCCTGCATTCACATTTTAGGCCATTACTTCTTCTCCTATCACTACACACCAGGGAGGAGAACCTGGCCTCATCCATTTGTCCCCCACCTCCCTTTCAATATTTACAAACATTAATCAGAGACCCCCTCAGTCTTCTTTTCCCCAGGCTGAACAGACCCTGGTCTCTCAGCCTTTCCTCATGTGAGAGATGCTCCAGGCCCTTCATCATCTTTGTGGTGGACTCCTTGCTGGACTCCTTCTAGGAGATCTGTGTCATTTTGAACTGAGAAGCCCAGAACTGGACATAGTTGTTTAAATGTGGCCTCACCAGGGCAGAGTAGAGGAGGATCACCTTCCTCGAGCTGCTGTCCACCAGAACACAGAAACATTTCACTGTGCAAGTGTAACATGAAAAAAAAATAGCAAGAGCGAGGCTTATGCCATGAAGTACACACACACACACACACTTGGCTGCTACTGCCAAAAGTTCATAAGTCATAAGTAAAGGAAAGGAAAAATACATATTGTGATTGTTTGGCTTTTGAAAAGAATAAAACCTGTTGTGAAATCAAATAACACAAAGGAAGTAAAATGCTTCTAACAAACTGAACAGAACAGATAACTTGCTGTGTATCAAGTCCAGTGGGAAGAGGACTTGTGTATTATAAAACTATTCCCTTGAATAAAGTATGGAGATATTTCCTCTTTGCAAAAATGTAACTGTCAGTGGGAGTTAGTTAAAAGCTCCATTTCAAATAGAAATGGAGTAACAGTTATTTTATGTTTACAGGAAATTTATCTGAAACAGATTTGATCATTTCAAGTTCATGTGCATTTTTACCCACAAACCACAGGGCTCTATACCCATTCTGTTGTCACATCTTGCCTTTTATTTTTTTCTTGCCAAAAACACATGTTGATAATCTCTTAGTGCAGCAATGAAACTGCTCAAAGTTGAGCATTAATTGAGATGATGCTGAGCCAACAGGGAACAGAATAACTGAGGCTACATATAATTTTCCTAGCTTTGAATGCAGCATACTGTTCATTACATACTTAGCAATGCAGAAACAGAACAAAAATCATGACCTGAAGCAGAGAAACACTTATGGCTGCCAGAGAGTGGCTTCACAGCGAAAGTACCACTGTATCTTTCTATTCTGCTGACAAATACACTAAAGGTCCTGCCTTTTACATCTGCTAGTTTTCAAAACGTCATTCTACAGACACAGAACGACTTGTAGAATCACCAGAAGTTAGTGAAAGAACCAGATATATAATGAGTACATCATACATTACAAAGCTTAATTGTAGAGCTTCATTTTTTCCTTACCTCAGAACTAGATTAGGTTTTACTCAGGAGTTAATTCTTGCCTCAGATAATGGCTTGAAAGAAAGCTGGCAGCCTTCTTTTGCACTAGAACAATGTAACCTTTAAAGTGAATTTTTGAGATCTGATTTCTTCTTCATGCAGGAGATACTCCTTTATGATTTATTTTCATTTGAATCTCTGAAGTTTTGTATCAATTATTCTGCAGCTTAAACAAGAAGTACAAGAACTCTAATAGCAAAGAGAATAGTTGGTCAACTGTTCAGATATTAGGGGTTTTTTTTCAGCTACAGTAGAAGCCTGTAGAAGGCCCCAACACATGCAACTTCCTCTCTTACCTTCCTGGTAGTTGTGAGCACCATCTGGTAAGGCAAGAAATGGCAAATATTTCCATTCTTCTGGTAAACTGTGGCTGTCATGTCCTTCTCCAGGCATCAGGGGAGGGTAGGAGAATTCAACCTAAACAAAGAAACAAAGAGGAAGCAAAAGGAGAACAGATTATTGTTAGCAAACAAGCAAGCTTCTGTAACTGAGCCTGGCATATTTTTCTTTAGCAATGGCATGGAAGAAAGTTCTTCTTCCTACTAGCATTCCTTCTCTCTCCAAAGAGATGGATGGGCTCATATGCAGTCTGATGGCAGGCCCCAGGAAGATCTGACTTCCACAGTGCTCCCTTCCAGCCTAAGAGATATCCAACCTCAAGAGATACATAAAACAGATGTTAAGAAGAGGATGTCACCTTCTTCCCTACATGCACATAGCAAGCAGCACATTGCTGCCCCTGCAATATCAGCAGGGGTCATTGCTGGGGCACACCTTGAAATCAGATTTGGCTTTTCATCGTCTCGAGTCCTCATGATGAGCTAATCTCTATCACATGCAAGCCTATATTTTACCCCCGTGGATACTGAATAATACAGCAACAGCAAAATACTGTTTTTAAAGATTATTTTTTTTTTATGTCCTTCATCTCAATGATGCAGCAAGTTTTCCACATCTACTAGAAATGCCTCCTTTTCCTTTTCAAGAAATCCTGCCTTTCAATTTCACTTTTCATCTCTTTGCCTTTTACCACTTTTTCCTAGTATCAGAGGCAACCTCTATTTCTTGCACTATAATATCTGTCTACCACGGCTCCCCAGTCTTCACACTGTCATCCTTTATTGTTTTGTTTTCCTACGGACTTCTGAGTTTCCAGCCATTTTCAACAAGTCTTAATTTCCACACATACTTATCTTAAATTACCAAACAAAAATCTAGGCACGAGTTTAATCACTAGAAGAAACTGCTGCAGCATATTGCATCTCCTCTTGGAAGATGCTTGGCTAAAATCCAGTCAGCTGTAGGATGTATAAATGGAAATTTATAACTTGCAGGAAACCAAAAGCATGACAAAACAAGCTAGAAGGATGATAAAATAACAATACTATGAAAGATGAAAGCACTGAAGAAATAGGAAATAAAATAAGAAGTGAAATTCTTCACCTTAACACGTGGTGTCACTCTTACCACAACCGATGCTACCTGTGTTCTTCTCATAACATGAAATTTGCTGACAACCAATTTAATCTTCTTGGTTCTAGCTCATAGTAGCTCAGGTGCTATCACATACCTCAAACAACAGTTTGGCTCCAACAATTCCAAATTCAACAGACTGAACAGGTATTAATGACACCACTGATAATCTTGTTTCATATCAGCCTGTTTCTTTCCAAGGTAAGCATCTCAATACAGGGATTTCTGCATTAACGTATGTAGGTGAGAGAAGATCACAAGACAAAGCAGAATTAAGATTGCTGTAGTGAGCTTAAATAATCTATTTTATACACGGATGTCATGATACATCTGATTTACATGTAGTAATACCCCCTCTTTTCCCAAAGCGATCTATGGAGGGAACTCTCAAGCTCCTTAGGAAGAATTCCATTTGTGCAGCTTAATAGACTGCAGACTGAAGAAGTACTGCCTCATTCTGTGGCAGCTGTAGGAAGAAAAAGGACAATACAACAGCAAAGACAGCATGCAATGCCCTGGAGAACTTCCTTCTAAACCTGCCTCCAACTTCAGAGTTCCAAGCAATTTCATTTCAAAGCAGTTAAGCTGAACTCTTCCTCAAGTAGTCACGGCAGGTGGGAATCGTGTCATCCAACTACTTATCAAAAAGCCAGAACTCCAAGCCAGTTTTCCTAAGCGTTCTACAGTCAGAAAAAACAGACACCTGCAGTGGATGATTCATCCAATCTGTTTCTTTCTATCATCTCCAAAGAGTGCGAGCTCAGGCCCAGAAGCCTAATTTGCAGATGAAAATCACCCTAAATGTTTCTCATCTTCCAGGCATCCTGCTTGACTTCTACAGAGCAATCTGCACAACAGCATAAACTGCAGTTAGGAACGTTCTGCAAATAAAAAACATGATTTCAAAACCAAAGCGTTATAAAGTGTTGAACAGTTTCAGAGAACAGCAAAAAATACAAAGATCCTCACACAAAACAAACCACAGTTCCTGGATAAATCTGGAAATGAAAATTGCACATGTAAAAAAAACAAAGTAAATGGGGTAGAGAAAATCTCAGTTATATCACTTCTGAATTTCTGAACAACAGTCTCAGCAAAATTATTTTCTCAGCCTGCATAAACATGCGCTTCAATTTCCTTGTTCTTTGTTAATACATACATGCATTACAAAAATCGTCTGCAAACAAGAGAAACAATCTTTGTAGCAAAGCTCTGTGTTCAACAGGAACATATATGAGTTAAATGCCTCAGCAGACCTTACAGTTTTCATCCCTTCAAATGAATTTAAGAAGTCTCCTCAACAAAGTGAAATTCTTATTCAAAACTCAACTCCTTACAGACTTCAGCAGAAGCTATTAAAAAAAATAAAAATGCACCAGAGACTCCAGTCATTTCTTACTCTTTCAAGTGTCAGGGATCTTCATTATAGCTGGAAATATTGATTATAACTGTCAAAGAGTTTTGATGGCAATGTTTTCTGCCTGTTCCAATTGTCTTCTTCTGAATGCACTGTGCTACTAGTGGATTTTAGAACTAAAATCAATGCAGAATTCTGTAACACGATCGAGTGGAGAAATAAATGTAGACTTCATTGCACAAAGTATTTCAGCTTTTGTGGATGATCGAATTAAAACAAAATGCAAAAAAAAATCCCAACCCTAAACTAAATAACAACTATTTCTGGAACTGACATTTGTATCTTTCTGTAATTCTACTACATTAACAGACCTCCTGTTAAGCAGTTCTTGTTGCATCCAACAGTTCAGAAGCAAAGCAGCTACTCATAAGCAGTCCTTTCTCCTTTGAAGAATAAAGAGAGTCCCAGCAAACACTTTTGATTCCTCCTCTTTAAAGAGATTTCCTAGCCAGAATAAATTTGCTAGATGTTCACTAACCTGCAGTAAGAAATGAGTGCGAACAAAGAAAAATGTATTTCTTACTTCTAGGAACTAAGATGATAGATTTTCTTAGATCAAATGCCTCGATATCATCTCCTACTAAATTACAAGTACACAATCAGAAGAAAGATACAAAAAAAATTTGGATAAAAAGAGGAATTCCCAAAAGATATATGCATGTCCATCTATCACACTCAAACATTGGACAGGTAGCCATCACTTATATTCAACAAACTTTTACTTAGGGCAGGTTGTTTTCCTTATATACAAAGTGTTGCTAAGTGACAGCAATCACAGCAAGAGCAAAATCTTCAGTGAACATTAACCAGCAATAAGTCAACACGCCGGTGAGTCAGTACAAATTACAGACTTCCCAGACTCCCCATCGCGTTTACAGTCACATGTTTGAATGAATTCATTTACAGGTTAACTCTTCTTACTTAACAGCGTACGTTCCCTTCAAATATTTTGAAAGATCTCTCTTCAGAATACAAATGATAATAATTAAAAAAAAAAAACAAACAACTGAACCCTAAGAAGTTTTTCCATTAATTCAACTGGAGTGGATTTAAGTTTAGACCTCTTAAAAAATCTGAGATATTTAAGACACAAGTATTATTTAAGACACAAGAATACTCTTAGTGAGGTGCTGACCTTAAATTACAGGGAGTGAACCCACTCCAGTATAAATATAAATAAATATATATTAATGATCTCTTGATTGCTTGTATCACATTAATAGGTAGAACCATTGCTTCACATGAAGAGAAGAAAACTGGTAAAAACACTCACTGCATTCCTGTTTAGAACTTCTTCCTTCATAAATAATTTCAATCTATATCGATGGTATCAGCTATTCCAATCTCACTTAAGGAAACGAGGAGTAAGAAAAATAGGATATTAAATACTGAGGATACTGCTAAGCAGGAATGACTCCCCCCAACCCCCAAAACCCTACAAATCAAACTCACACATGAAAACTGACCTCTCATTTCAAATAAACCAGTATTTGTTCCTCGCTCAAAGCTAGGATTTCTGAAGGTTTTTCCTTGATACCTTAGACCAAGCATAGACACGTGCAGAGAAAACCAGTGCACCAAAGATATTATCTGAATCACTGAAACAACTGCAGCATGCAGCCAAATGAAACTAGGCATACTGTTCATCTTTCATTAAGTCAGATTTATATGACAAACTTTTCCCATCAACATGACAGAAACAACAGATCAGGATCTACAGATGGATGAGCCTATCTGTAAATCAATCATGCCTGCAGTGTAATATAATGACCTCTAACAAAAGGGTTTTTTAATATATATTTTCATATATATGTATTCATATGTCCGTATATATATTACATACATACAAATGGTGGAAAGAAATTAACATATTAGAAAGCAGTAGGACACTGCATTTTCTATCCTTCCAGTTCTTGAAACTTCCCCACGTGGCCCTATGATCAGAGCTCTAAAGCAATCACTTCTACAAGCTCTAAGACACCATTTGGATTGCTACAGATGCACTAATGAAGCAGGCAGCCCCACACCCTGCGTGTTACAGCAGCTAAGGAACTTTGATTTTTTGTATACACAACTCAGCAAGCTTTCAGAAGCAACGTGCCTGTCTAGATGTAACACTCTGGCACCACATACGAATGGTGGGATGGATTACCACAATTGGACACAAACCATGAAACGAGGCAGGGCTAGGAAACTATTGTATCTGCATACAAATTAGATTGCCAACTTTGTAAAAGAAGCAAGAGGCCATATTATCAGTACTGGAAAACATTCTGAATTAGGCAGTTAAAAGGTACAACAGAAGTACAGAAATACAGCTTTTACCAATTCAGTATTAGTTCATTTATTGAAGAGAGAAGTCAAGATTCCAGGTACAGAGTGCCACTTGCATAGCTCTAGGATTGGGTGTCATGACACAGAGAACAGACTGATAACAAGATGAACGCTAAAGGAAATGACAATGCATGGTGTTAAGTAACTAACAAAAGGTATTTAGGAAATTTCACAACTCGTAGCAGGGCAACTA